TCCAAAAAGGAAATCTTTCAGGCCAGATAGTTTTACTGGCAATTCTACCAAACATTTAAAGATGTTAAAGCCTCAGTATCAGCCCTGAGTCTGAGTTTCAGAGGAAGGAGATTCCAGGTCCCAGACACTGCCCTCGCCATTCCTGTTAAGCTCCTGGTTTTGTCCCTGCTTCCCGAAACCAGCACTCCAGGACTATGTCCCACCTTGAGGGTTAGAAGCAATAATACTTGTCAATCAGTAGTTGATTCCTGGAATCTCCTATGTGCTTGGGCCTGTTCTGGGTGCAGAGGTGAATCATACTGCATCCTTAATCTCTGAGAATTTATGAGGAAGAGGTGTTAAGTCAGGATGGAAAATTAAACCTACTGCTTTTCTTTGTAGTGAAAAAGCTCATACAGAGCCAGCTGGGTTCACCCCTGCTCACAGCATGGTTATTTTAAAGAAATACATGGCAGTCCTTCTCATATCTCCACACAGTTCCAGATGTAGACGCACACACACACACACCACAGTGTTTAGAGAGGTCAGCCTTTGCAGAAGTGTACAGATCATTCAGCTGATCATTCACCATATAGTTACGCAGCACCACCTCTAACCTTGGGTCTCTGCTGGGTCCACCTCTTCGGAGAGGAAGAGTTTACACATCTGCAGGTGCCACATGCATGAAACAAACAACGACCACACAGAATGAGGGTATCCCGATACAATTAGGTACATTCACCATGGGTGCATAGGGTAGGAAGCCACTAATGTTTTGGGGAGAGGGTGGAGGAGGAGACTCAGAAGTCTTCCAAGAAGAGAAGAAACTTAAGTGAGGTCTTCAAGGATGAGAAGGAGTCTTTCAGGTGAGCAAGAAGGCTGAGACTGTCCAGCAAAGAGAAAACACACCAAGTAGTAATAAAAGAGCACAGTGGTCACTACAGTAACTTAGTGGTGTTGGGCAGAGGAACCCAAGAGGTGAACCTGGAAAGAGAGATCTGGGACCTTTGCTGAAGGATGGGCTTCGTTGATCTCATGAGTTTGATCTATTTATTTTCACTTTAAATTGAAAATTGTTGGGTATGTGTCATGTGCACATGGTATAAAATTTAAAAAGTAGAAAAGGTATATGGAGAATATTGTGTTCCTCAACCGCACCACCCCCAACCCAGTTTCTCTTCCTGAAGTCAGGTGCCAGAACTGGTTTTTTGGGCATACTTCCAGAACTATTTTCCCCGCATTTAAAAATAAGGGTGTGTCTGTATATTTGCCACACAAAGGCTGCATATTGTACTTTCTTTTTTTTTTTTTTTAAAGATTTTATTTATTTATTTGACAGAGAGAGACACAGCGAGAGAGGGAACACAAGCAGGGGGAGTGGGAGAGGGAGAAGCAGGCTTCCCGCTGAGCAGGGAGCCCGATGTGGGGCTCGATCCCAGGACCCTGGGATCCTGACCTGAGCCGAAGGCAGACGCTTAACAACTGAGCCACCCAGGCGCCCCTGCATATTGTACTTTCTATCCCACACCTTGCGTTCCTCTTTGGATATTTATTTTATTTATTTGGAATTTGGATGTACCGTAATTCACTGGATCAGTTCTGTTGATGGAATTTAGGTAATTTCTGGTCTTTTGCTGTTATAAACTGTGCTGCAGTGACAATCCTTGTCTATAAGTCCATTTACACATGGAAATCTATCTATAGGACAAATTCCTCATAATGGAATTCCTGGGTCAAAGGGTGTAAGTGTTTTTAGTTTTATTAAATGATGCTAAATCACCATCCATAAGGGCGGTGCCGACAACCTGTTTCCCCATACCCTGGCCAGCAGTGTTCTTAAACCTTTTGCTCCTTTAGGCTCAGGCTTTTAGGCTTTATCCTGTAAATGATGATGAGCCCTGGAGAGGTTTTTAAGCAGGGGAGTGTCACAATCAGATTTGTATTTTGGTAAGACCATTTGGGCTGCAGGGAGGGTAAGTGTTGCTCAGAGGCAAAGACTAGAGTCATGAATACAGGTCGGGAGGCTTTAAAGTAGTCCAGGCAAGACACAATTGTTGGCAGTGTGGTTTAGGCAGTTGGCAGTGGAGAAAGAGAAGGGAATGGGTATTGAGACACCGAGGAAGTAGGTTCGATAGGACTCAGGACTGATCAGGCTTGGGGATGTGGGAGAGAAGATAGCTTTAATCAAAGGCTCTAGGGGTGCATGGCCGGCTCAGTTCTAGAGCGTGTGACTCTTTTTTTTTAAGATTTTATTTATTTATTTGAGACAGAGAGCATGAGAGGGAAGAGGGTCAGAGGGAGAAGCAGACTCCCTTCCGAGCAGGGAGCCCGATGCGGGACTCGATCCCGGGACTGCAGGATCATGACCTGAGCCGAAGGCAGTCGCTTAACCGACTGAGCCACCCAGGCGCCCTAGAGCGTGTGACTCTTGATCTCAGTGAGTGTGAGCCCCATGTTGGGTGTTGAGATGACTTAAAAATAAAATCTTAAAAAAAAAAAAAAGCAAAAAATCTCTGTTCTCATGAGTATTGTGCAAAGTCAGCATTTTCTTTGTAAATTTATAGATTTCATGCCCATGTTAATGCTTCCTAATCCTAGAATACCAGGAGTTAACAGAAGGTTCTAACGTATCACTAATCTCTGTTTGTTGGCTCCAAGGGGTTTTTGTCTGTTAGTATCTTGCTGGTGGCAGAGAAATTGGAGGAGCATTTTTACTGTAATTCCTTGGCCAGTCAGACTTTTATTTGATGGCTTCTGGGCATCACCACACTCTTATTTTTCACATATTTGAATGAATGGTATCATTCATTCAAAATTCCATATTCAGTAACTTTAAATTCTATACTTAATTCAAATGTAGTTTAATTAATATATTTTAAAGTCTTTCTTTATATGATCTGTTTCCTTTGGTTTTGTGTGTGGTTCTTCTGATAAGTAGAGATATTTGTATGTGGTAATGTATAATATATATTTTATATTGTATATGATACCATTAAGCATTTCTTCTGTTCGGGGTCTTAATTTTTTATGACGAGCTATGATAAAGTGTTTCCACTACTCTTTTTCCCTGTCATTTTCCATCTCATATTAGCCCCACCTCTTATTTCTAGGTGATTATCTCTGTATAGTTAGATATCCTGTATTTCTATTACCTAGTTTTTCAGCTTTGATTAAATCTTTGGTTCCTGGCTTGTATAGGTGATAGACTCAAGGAACTTACTCCACTTGTCACCTTCTTCCTCCTTCCCCTTTTTGTACGAGTTGTATCATTTCTGTCTGCTCAGGGCCCAGAACGCTGACATTTTGCTCTGCCACTCTAAACCCCTTTGGTTCTAGTCTCGATTATATAATTAATAATATATTTAATGCTAAGCATGAATTTTGCTGTGGTTTCCCTAATCATCTTTTGGTGGACCGGAGTATGTTCTCTAGTAGTTTTCTCAAGCGGGGCTCGTGGGAACAATATTCCCTAAGTCCGCATATGTTCAAAAAACCATCTTCCTAAGCTTAGAAATTTTCAAGAAGTTTCTTCAGTAGCATGTTTTTGCTGGCATTTTCTGAGATGTGCTGCCTCTGGGCCGTTCCACTCTCCTCTGCCTGCCCCAGCTGGATGTCAACCTTGAGCGTCTTTTTTGTGATTCCCACCCAGCTCTCCACGATCCCACAGCTCTCCTTGGAGGCGGACTTTGTGGGTTCATCACACCAGGATGAGTCCTGTATCTACCGTAACTGTGTTTTGCGGCCACGCTCTGAGGCCCGTGGAACTCTTCGCTCTTCACCTGCCCGAGCTGTTTTCACGGTTTCTTTTCTCCCCACAGCCTTTGTTCCCAAACAGCCTCCCAGTGGCTCAGCTATCTGCTTGAGGCAACCCTTGCTCGGTTTTTCTTTTCTTTTCTTCTTTTTTTTTTTTTTTTGAGACTGTAGATTTTATATGCCTCCGGTTTCACTCATGATGAAGTTTATAATTTCTTTTTCTTGTTTACTTTGTTGGCTTTGATTATATTTGGGAGGAAAAGAGGCAACTTGTCTCTTGTGCCCCGATGTTTAGACCGGAAATCCTTTAATTATATTTGACTGGGAGGCATTCTCCGCTCACAGCTGGGAGCCTGGGATTTGAAATTAGACACACCTGGCTTCTGAGCTAACCTCTACCACTTACTGTCGGTGGATAATCACATTTCTCTTTCGGCCATCGGTGTATTCTTATCTCTAAGGTTTACTTTTTAAAAAAAATGTTTTTAAAGATTTTCATTTTTACATAATCTCTGCACCCGGTGTGGGGCTTGAACCCACAACCCCCGAGATCAAGTGTTGCACACCCTTCCGGTGTGCCCTGGTGTTCTTATCTCCAACATGGAGAGAACGCTCACAACTATTTCATACTGTGAGTAAGTGAGGTAGTGTATGCATCATACGTAGGGGCCTAGCAGAGTGCTTTGCAAATAGTGGGTGTTCAAAAGGGTAATAGTATAATGTTTCGTTGATTTTTCCAGCACAGGTGGCGTTCCTAATTACGTTAACCTTCTCTGTTTGGATGGTGTCATATTACCACCACTCGATCAACGTTAATGGCAGATGCTGTCATGGAGGCCATCGTCAGGAGACCCTTTGGCTCTCTCCCATTTTGCCCATAATTCTATCTGGTGTCAGTTAGTGCCAAAAAAGAGGGACAGATTAATTTGCTCAGAAGCCCTGCAGAGAGGACACTCTTCTCCAAGTGACAGGGGTGAGGGGTCTTTCAGGAAAGGCAGGGTTTCTTCAAGGAGAGGTGGGAAGAGCCGGAGCTAGACCTGGACTCTGGATAGTCCTTGGTCTAGACTCTGGGATCAGGGATTGGGATGGGTGGGCTTGGGACTGTCGCACGTCCTTTGCCTCCCAACCCCTAGCAGGCCTGGAAAACCAGGTGGCAGGATTCCCATCAGGGCACGTCTGGATGAGGTCAGAGGAGGCTGGGATGCCAGGTTGAAAGAGATCCTAAGTCTCATGTAGCCAAGTGCTTGCTTTTGTCTGTGTGTTCTCAGGTCCCGGAATCCCAGGCAAACCTGGCTCCTACTGTGTTGGCCAGCAAGAGCGCCGATGCGGTCTCTGCTGGTCGCAGCAACTCCAGAAGCCAGGGCGTCATCGAGCCCATGGATACAGACACCCAGGAAGATCAGAGGACATCTGCTGACCAGAAACCTGGAGGCAGGAAGAATACAGAGGCTGATGGGAAGATGCAAGTGGATGGGAGGACCCAGGGAGACAGGACACAAACACCCCAGAGGACACAGGCAGATAGGAAGACTCAGGTGGACATTGTGCCACAGGAAAGTGAGAGGCCAGCGTCAGCCAGGAGTTCCCAGGAGGATGCGGCGGCACAGGGAAGGGCAGGGACACAGGTGGAAAGGACACAGACAGGCAAGAGGACGCAGGAAGACAGAAGGATCCAGGAAGAAAAAGGGGCACGGTCAGAGGGGAGCATACCCACAGCCATAAAAGGTCAGTCAGAGAAGGGCTCCATGACCAGCCTCAGCCCACAGTCCAGACCCCCTTCAGGGGGTCCTCAGTCTCCTCAGATTATTGAGTGTTTTGAGCAGACCCCTGAAGGGCCCTCTGTCCCAGAAGAACCTGGTTTCATGCTCAGACCTGAGGGGGCGGCAGTCACAGCCCCAGGGAGCTACGAGGCAGCTCTGCTGGGTGCCCCGGCAGGCAGCCGCCCACTCCCAGTGCAGCGACCTCCCCAGGGTGGTCCAGAGCAGCGGGGAGGGCCCAAGTGGTCAGGTCCGGTCAAGGACAAGCCAGAGGATGGCCCGATCCCACGCCCCAAGGAGGAGCAGCTGAGAGAAGTGCCGTCCATGGATCTGGGCGGCTGTCCTCCAGCTGGCTGGAACCCAGAGGTGCCTACTGTGCCCTCTCCTCCCGGGCCGGGCCTGACCAAGAGCTCACGGGAGGCACTGCCCAGCACTCCGGCCTCTCAGCACACGAGTGCTGCCACCTTCCCGCCATCTGGGGACCAGGCCTTGCTGAGGTCGGCCCCCCCACTGCACCTGGGGCCAGGGACCCCCACCCAGAGTCACCCACCAGCAGCCACGTCAGCCGACAGCGAGGGGGCCTGCGCCCTAGGGCTGGACGTGGAGGGGAGGCCCCCAGGCCCCCGGAGCTGCGACCCTGGCCTCATAGACTCCCTGAAGAACTACCTGCTTCTGCTGCTGAAGCTCTCCAGCACAGAGACGGGGGGCGGGGGGGCGGAGTCCCAGGAGGGAGCCGCCACTGGGGCTCCGGTGTCCTCAGCCACTCTGGTCCCCAATGTGGAAGTGGCCGGTCTGAGTCCCCGGACGTCCAGGCGCATCCTGGAGCGCGTGGAGAACAACCATCTAGTGCAGAGCGCGCAGAGCCTGCTGCTGAGCCCCTGCACCTCCCGCCGCCTCACCGGCCTCCTGGATCGTGAGGTGCAGGCTGGCCGCCAGGCCCTGGCTGTAGCCCGGGGCCCTGGCCCCAGCACGCTCACTGTCCCTGCCATCGTGGTAGGCGAGGAGGAGGGCCCTGGGCTCCCATCAGAAGGATCCAGTGAGGGCGAGGGCGAGGGCGAGGGCGAGGTTGCCCCTGAGGGGCCTGGGCGCTCGGGGGCCTCCCAGGAGAGCAGCGTGCGAGGGTCTCTGGGGGAGGCGGGTGGGCAGACGGCCTCTGGTCAGGGACCACTCTCAGCAGACAGAAGGGCCCAGGAACCCCTCCGAGAGGAGGAGGCCTCGACAGGCCTCCCCGCAGCTACAGCTGAGGAGCTAGCTCTGGGAGCCCGGAGGAAGAGATTTCTCCCCAAGGTCAGAGCAGGAGGAGACGGGGAGGCAGCGAAGGCTGAAGAAAAGGAGAGCCCCACAGTTTCCCCCCGGGGGCTCAGGAAGGGCCTTGCACCCGGGTCCCCGGGGACCCTGGGGCGGGAGAAACGCTCCCCGACCCAGGGTAGAAAGGCAGGCATGCTGGAGGTGCCGCGGGCAGAGGATGAGCCGGCAGCAGGAGACCTGGGCTCCGGCCCCAAGGCCAGCAGCGTGGACGCAGAGCAGGCCCTGGATGAAGGCAAGCAGGACACTTGGGCCAAATCCAAGAAAGCCAAAGACCTGCTAAAAGGTGAGCAATGGGGAGGGCGGGGGAGGGCTTCACGGGGAGAGGGTTGCACACTCGGGGTGCACACGCCCATGAGGGGTTTGCAGAGTCCCTCCTACGCATTCTCCTGGAATGACCCCCCAGGCTGTGCAGTCAGAGGGCTAGTTCTTGTCCTGGCTCTGCCACTCGGGATTGGGAAGAGTACCAACTGTGTACCACTGAGGCTGAAGCAGGATGGAAGAAATCAGGTCCTGAGCGCGGGGCTGGCTTCCCTAGTGTCCTACGTCTAGTGCCTTCCTCCCCACCATCCCCTCTGCACAGACGTGTCCCCCGAGTACAGAGCAGGAGGGTCGGGATCCAGACACAGGTTCCTCGAGTTAGGGCCTAGAACCCAAACTGAAGTTCTCTCTCTCTCTCTCTCTCTCTCTCTCTCTCTCTCTCGCCACAAGAGCCTTGCATTTTATTTGAGGAGAAGCTTTATGTTTCGTTGTGTTTTCTTTGTTGTCTTTAGGGAACTCAGTTCCTTTAATAGATGTAAGGTCATTGGTGTTATCTGTTTCTTCTTGGGTGGGCTTTCCTAGCCAATACCATCCAGTGAATTCTCCCTTTTCATCTATAAAACAAATACATCTAAAAATGTAAAATGTAAAAATACATCATCTAAAAAACAAATAGGGTGATATTTGCCATAGCGTCCTCTGCGATCCATTTAATATCTGAAGGTTCTGACATGACCTCGGGAATTTCTGATTCTGGTAATTTGTGGTGCTGTTTCTTCTTCCCATTTATGCGTTTCGTCTCTCATGGATTTTTTTGTTTTTAAATTTTTTTATTTGAGTATAGTTGTAATGTAATATATAGTAATATAATATAACATATCTCTCTAATAGGATGTATACATATAGATAATACAATATAACATAATGTAATATAATATGATATAACGTAACCCAGTGTTACATTAGTTTCATAGTGATTCAACAATTATATACATTATGCTGGGCTCCCCACAAGTGCAGTTGCCGTCTGCCCTGGGCTCTGAGGCTGTCGCAGGCCCGGGGTGGGGGACACAGGAGTGGGGCCTTCCAGCTACGATGTGTGCTTTGGAGTCAAAGCAAACGCCTCAGAGAAGCAGGTGGGATGCGGCTGGCAGCCCGGAAGCAGTGGGTTTGTGGGCAGGCTTGAATCCTGTTTTCTCTCAACCTGTCCCACCAGGGACACCCAGGGAAGCAGGGGTGGGGCCAGGGTGAGGGGCACAAGATGGCAGGGAAGTGGCTTGTCCCTCTTAACTGGGCCCCTGCTCTCAGCCCCACAGGTGATCCGGAAGATTCGGGTGGAGCAGTTTCCTGACGCCTCGGGCAGCCTGAAGCTCTGGTGCCAGTTTTTCAACATTCTTAGTGACTCAGTCTTGACGTGGGCCAAGGATCGGCGCCCAGTGGGCGAGGTGGGCAGGAGGTAAGCCAGCCGGATGCCACGTCCACCTGCCTGGCTCCCTCAGTGCAGCGATGAGAATGTGGGGCATAGTCCTCCCACTGTGGCTCTATCCCATCTATCACGTAATGCTCACGGTCACCCTAGGAGGAGATTCTAGTATTTCCTTAGTAGAGAGGAGAAAGTGGAGGCTCAGAGGTATTAAATCACGTGCCAGGGTCCCAGAGCTAGGGAGTGTCAGGACGGCCAGCCAGACCTGTGTGATCCAGGACCAGCCCTTGACCACAGTACCACTCGCCCCTGCCTGCGCTCTCGGAGCCGGGGTCCACAGCAGCCTCTGAGGACAGGGTGTCATGATCCTCAGGGCCACACTCCGGCCCTGGGCTGTGCATGGCAATGGCCCTCCTGGGGGGGTCCTCCCCTCTTTGCAGTGCTGGGGATGAGGGGCCGGCAGCCTTGGCCATCGTGCAGGCGTCCCCCGTCGACTGCGGCGTGTATCGATGCACCATCCGCAACGAGCACGGCTCGGCCACTACCGACTTCTGCCTCAGCCCCGAGGGTGAGTGTGCCCCCTCCTGCGCTCTCTGCCCAGCCTGGCTCCTGAGGGAGGGCTGCGCTCATCTCCACAGGGAGGGTGCTCTCTCCAGGCCAGGCCAGCCTGAGGACAACTGCCTCCTCTTCTTTTTCTCCCCCACAGTGTTGTCAGGATTCATCTCCAGAGAAGAGGGTGAAGGTATGATGCCTGTCTGGGGGAGGAGCGGGTGGGCCTTCATCCCTACCCCTGCCATCCTCGGGGAGGACCTACTTTATCCATTCCAAATACCATGTTTACCTCCACACCCAGCTACCCTTGGCCTCCTTGTTTAGGATAGGGCTCGGGATGGAGGATGGGGAGGACTGCTATTTCCAAAGATCGTGGGGGAAGGAGTGGCCAGGGGGCCCTTCCACAAGAGGTTAATTCAGCCTTGTGCCCTTAGCCCATGTTGGAGCCCTTGACCAAGGGCAGGCCTGGCCGCTAGAGCCTGCCTTACCCTGCCAGCTCCCTTCCTGGAGTTTCTCACCGTGCTCTGTGGGTTCCTGCCTCCGATCCCCACGGCAAGCTTGCTAAAAATGCGGTTTCTAGGTCCCTGCTGTAGATACCCTTAATCACAACTTCGGGGGAAAGGGACCCAGAAAAACTGCATCTTCAGGAGGTCTCTGGTGATTATAAGGCATTTCCCCGAACATTAGAGCAAGAGGCTGTGCTGCTTCTATAGGAAATACACTGAGGATTAGGGCCGTGAAGGCAGCTGGTGATAAATTTTTAGAGCCTCACTGCCAACTAATGTGTTCATTCATTCATTCGCTCATTTAATCACTCAGTCATTCAACTAGTGCCTTTTGATCAGTTGTCCAGTGTAATCGATATCAAATAGGACCTCACACCTAAACCCTTGGCAATAGTTCTTTAATGTGCTCAAACACAGTCGCATTTCAATTGTCTCCTAAGGGTTGGTTTACTTGGGTTAGGAACCACTCATTGCTTTGGGCAGATCGATCTTAAGTCTCTCTAATACATAACTGTTCTTGTTCATTGTTTTCCCTTTTTATTTGTTGAAGTCACTTGATAGATAGGATTTCTTACACTCTGGACTTTGTTGATTTAACCCCATTTAACATGTCCCCCTTCTCACGTGCTTCTCCTAGACTGGTAATCCGATCGAGAGGCTTGGTCAGATTCAGGTGCAATTTTTTGGGGGGGTGTGGGCAAGAACACCTCACAGATGTGCTCTGCCTACCTCTTAGCATCCCATCTAGAAGCACACAATTAATGTCTGACTGTTTTACTCTAGTAACATTAAGATTGACCCCTGCATTCATTCAGTTGTTTTCTGCCCTATCTTTGAAAAAGTTTAAAAACTGTATCTGATACTTGTTACCTAGAGGTTTTAGCAGCTACCAGTTATTGCCTGAATCCACGATTTCATTAGGGTTTACAACTGGAGTATTTTAATTCTGTCATTTCTTCATTCATCCATTGAGTTTCTTTTGTAAACAAGAAATGGTCCTTTCGTTGCCCTGAGTTGGTGTCCTAGCATCCTCCAAAGGTCACCAATGAGGTTTGGGGTTTTTTTGTGTGTGGGGAGGGAGGACTGAGTTTTTTCCAAATACAATTAAGAATGTAATTTTTAAAACATATTTGATATGTTCGCCACATTGTAGAAATCATTCTTTTTGGTTGGGATGATTGATTTGGGCCCGTGGAAGCCCCTTCAGAAAGTTGGCTCTTGCGTCCTTCTGACAAGCCTCAGGAGTTTTTTAAAAGTGGCTTCTTTGCTCTCTGGTCAGGCAGGATGTTTTAGGTCCATCGAGTCCACTTCCTGCCTGAGACCTGGAATCAGCCGGTTCTTTAGGGAGCTTGGGGTCCCTTGACAGGGAAATGGCTTGTAGGGATCACAGTCTGAGCACTGGGGCAGCTCATGCTACTGGATTGGTCCTGCAGACTGTTTCGGTCAAACATGTTGGTTGAGATGGAGACATTTATTCATTTGATCAAAACACCTAATTCCCAAACAAAATCCATGCATGGATTGCCGCTTCCACGGAAAAGCCGTGCCTTGTGCAGACACTGACCTCGTCCTTGCTGTGTGCCGGGCACACTCAAGCACTGTTAAACGGTGGGGGTTGTGTTCGGCACAGATCCGCCCTCGGGAGCTCACAGGCTGGTTTGGGCCCCGCGGTGTACGGACCCCCAAAGAGCAGTCATGGGCGCAAGTGAGCATGCCAGAGTGGTGGGTGGGAGACTGTTCTGGCTCTCCCTGCCCGACAGACCCACCTCGGTGGGGCAGCAACTTCTAGTTTTCCACATCTTCCCTGTTCCCTTGCAGTTGGAGAGGAGATTGAGATGACCCCCATGGTGTTTGCTAAGGGTCTGGCTGACTCTGGCTGCTGGGGGGACAAGCTCTTTGGGCGCCTGGTGAGCGAGGAGCTACGAGGGGCTGGACATGGGTATGGCCTTCGGAAGGCCTCCCAGGCCAAGGTCATCTACGGGCTGGAGCCCATCTTCGAGTCAGGGCGTACGTGCATCATCAAGGTGTCCAGCCTGCTTGTGTTTGGACCCAGCAGCGAGACCTCTCTCCTGGGCAGAAACTACGACGTCACCATTCAGGTACAGTGTCCCATCCCCGGTCCCTCCTTCTACTGTCACCTCCTTCCCTTCCCCAGCTTGGGTCCGGCTGGAGGCAGAGGCCGCTGCGTCAACCTCATGAGGTTCCTGGGACCGGTCTCGAGAAGAGCTTGGCTATGTGGGGCCATAGTTTTCAAACCATATTTTTGTAGCAAAAACCTTTCTCATTGCCTTCACCCATACCTTGCAGGGAGCCTCTGCGTGAGATGAAAGGAGAGTGACTGGGTGGGGTGGGCCGTCCGGGTGTCTCCCTTGCTCCCCACAGCCAGGCCCCGGGGGCACTGCCTCCTGGGCTCCAGGGAACACAATTTGGAAACCACTTTGAAAACAAGCCCACGGTCTCTGGTTTTGCAAATGAGAAAACTCAGGTGCAGAGCAGGGAGCAGGGAAGGAGTGAACCCCACCTTTCCCAGGGCTGGAGTACCCCCTGCAGTCCCCCGGCAGATGGCCCTCCCACTTAGAGCCGGACATGATGGAGAGCGACGAAGCACCCTTGCTGACCAGACTTCGTTCTCTTTAACCCACAGGGATGCAAGATTCAGAACATGAGTCGGGAGTACTGTAAGATCTTTGCGGCCGAAGCCCAGGCAGCCCCTGGCTTTGGGGAGGTACCCGAGTAAGTGCACACGAAGGGGGGCACGTGGTGTGCAAACCTGCTGACTCGAGCTTCTGCCCAGAACAGTGATTTCAGGGTCCGTCAGGGGCATCCTGAGTTACGGCCCACAGCTAACCCCATGCTTGGCTCAATGGTCCCACAAAATTTAGAAATAAAGACCTCAAGATTAACCGCCCACTTTAGAAAAGTCTCTGCCCTGTTCTTGGGTCTCCCCCCACTCACCCCAGTTCCCCACCCTTTAGTTCCGTGTCTGCGGGTGGCTGGATGCCGGGACTCTCCGAAGGTGATAGGGGGTGGGGTAAACCTCCAGGCCAGCTGGTCGGGACTCCTTCCGTGGGCAGTAGGTGTCCGTGTAGGTTTTTGTAGGAGTCAGCTGTAAATGGTCGCTGTTTCCATGTTGAGACCTGAACTCTGACTCTTGAACCCTGGGGTCTGGTTGGCATGGAGCATCCTCTCTAGAGGTGTTCCTTTCTGTTGGCCGCGTCCTGGTCTGGGTCCCTCACTCAAGCTCAGGGTTCTCCTGGGGCTACAGCACCATTCATTTCGAATCCCACTGAGCTCAGGGCATGGACAGGACCCCGAAGCCAATGGCCTCATTCCGTTTCCTGAGCTCAGAGCAGAGCTGGCCTCCATCCCTGTCCTTCGGTCCCAGAGCTGAGAATTCCATTCTTGGAAGGACCCTTCTTTCCAACCCAAGAGTGTGGAGGTCCAGTGGCGGGGGGGGGGGGGGGGGGGGGGGGGGGCGGCTCTCTGGGGCCGTACTTCTGTTCACAGTGGAGTGGAACTGTGTTTAGGATCCTCCCACTGTACCTCATCTACCGGCCTGCCAACAATATCCCCTATGCGACCCTGGAGGAGGACCTGGGCCAGCCCCTGCAGCCTTACTGTTCTCGGGAGGGGGCCTGCGCGGCCGCCCCGGAAGCATCCTGCAGCTTCGAGGTCCAGCACAAATGCCAGACCTTCCAGCACTGGCTCTACCTGTGGACAAATGGCAGCTTCCTTGTCACCGATTTGGCAGGTAGGGGGCTGCGCGTGCATTGCCTCCCCCCACCGCCCCCGCCCGGGACCAGGTCAAGGAGCCGGCCTCAGTGGCCTCGTCTGGAACTGCCTGGGCATCCACAGGAGCACATCCTGGGCTCCAGTTACAGTTAAGAAGGAATTTAGTTCAAAGAACATGACATGGGAGCTAATTAAACAGCCACAGCCAAAATCTTTTCAAAATCTCCCTTCCTCCCTTCCTGGCAGCTCTGCTCTCCACTTTCTCTCTCTCCATACTTCCCAAACTCTCCCTTCCGTCCTAGCGCCCCAGCTTTACTGCCCCTTCTCCCTCCTCACCTTCCTCCCCATCTCCCCCTCCTCTTCCTCTCCTCCCCCTCTTCCCCCTTCTCCTCCTCCTTCCTTCCCTCCCTTCCCCTTCCTCCCCCTCCCCTCCCTCTTCCTCTTCCTCTCCCTCCTTCTCTCCCCTTCCCCTTCTTCTCTCTTCTTCCCTTTCTCCTCCTCCTTCCTCTCTTCCCTCTCTTCCCCTTCTCTTCCTCTACATCCTCCTCTCCCTCTCCTCATCCTTCTCCTCTTCCTCCCTGCCCCTGTCTGCCCCTTCCCCTTTCTCCCTTCTCCCTTCTTCTCCTCCCCCTCCCCCCCACTCCGCTTCCCTCCCCTCCCTCTCCTTCTCTTCCTCTACATCCTCCTCTCCCTCCCCTCATCCTTCTCCTCTTCCTCCCCTCCATCTGCCCCTCCCCCTTCTCCCTTCTCCCTTCTTCTCCTCCTCCTCCCCCCCACTCCGCTTCCCTCTCCTCCCTCTCCTTCTCTTCCTCTACATCCTCCTCCTTCCACTTTTGTTAGCTTTTTATTATGTGAACCAACTTAGTCTCTGTGGCTTCCTCTTATTTCTGTCTCTCCCATTCCTCAGATTTCCCCCCAACAAAGGCCAGCAAGCACAAATCCTCCTTTCTCTGCCCAGTCCTTCCCAGGCTGCCCTCTAGCCAGACCCGGGCAGGGGAGAGGAAAGGAGAGTTTCTCTACAGTGGGAGGAGAAGAATGCTGGGAGTATCACCCATCACCATATCTGGTCCCCGATGTGAATCAGTGAGAAAGCCAAGGGCCAGAGATAGAAAACTGGCTTAAATGTGCTTCTCGTTGGGGTTGAGTGGCACAATAAATGTGGTGTATGTAACTCCGTATATTGACGGGGGGCTGGTAGCACGTTCAGCCTTTGTCATTCCTTCTGTTGGTTGACTCCATCCGTCCAACATTTAGCCACTATTGGGAAGGTAAAAAGGTGAATCAGGAATCCTCACTGTCCTCAAGAAGCTGTGATAAGTACACCAGTTTCGAAAATGAGAGGATAATGCGATGCAGTAGAAAGACCTGGGACGCAAAGAAATCCGGCCTTCGTCTATGTCTCAGGGCTTTCCAGCTGGTCTCTGGAGACCCAGGAGAAAGCCAAAGCTCAGGCAGGGCGATTTCCACAATCTCTCTGAGCCTCGCCACACTTTCCCCCCCACGGAGTGACCGGCTCTTCCCTACCTCTCAGACTGGCTGGGAGGACTGAGTGAGGCCGTGGCTGTGAGCGCTTCTGCAAACTAAAATTCTGTGCAAACGTAGGGGGCCATGGTTACCGGGGTGCAGGGTGGAAGGTGGCGCCCCCGAGAGAGAAATGACAGGGACTAATGTCTAACTGCTCGACCACTATGACTCAGACACTAAGCTAGAGCCCTGCACACCCCGTGAGGCTCTCACCCCCCCTGCATTACCCGCCTCTGAGAGCTGAGGGCTAGAGGTGGTTCTCGTAGCTCTTAGCAGCTCGGAAGGGCTGGGGCTGACATCGGCCCACGTGTGCCCGACTCTCATCTGTCGTACCCGGCGCTGAGCCCTGGTCATGAAAGGCAGGCCCCCAGAAGGATGTGACAGGACGGTTTGAAAGTGGGGAGAGGCTCCCCCTCTAATGTGTGGATGCTAGGATGCCGGGGCAGACCAGCCAGGCTGGGGAGGCCAGTCCCCCAGGGCCCGTTTTGCCTGGCTCTGTTCTCCCAACACTGTCACCTGGTCTTGGCTTCTTGGGGTGCGGGCTTGCTGCCTGTGTGAGTAGGTAGAAGCCGGTCTTCCCCACTGTTACTTTTCTGCTGGTCCAGCCTGGTTTACGTCCACATTGCTACCTGCTCTCCCTTGCCCGGAGAGGAAGAGGAGCACATGCCAGCTCAAAGCCAGCGGCCAGCCCAGCCTGTGGCCTAATGTCTCCGGTAGAGCAGAATTGCACAGCTGGAGGGGGCTGGGATCTAGGCGCAAGAACTGAACTTGTACTTTGCCTCACAGTGGCCACTGCACATGCTCAGTGCGCAGTTAGCAAATGAATAAATGAATGTGACCTTGCTCCGGCCCCTGACCTCCGAGCCTGTCTCCTCACCCGCAAAAGGGGGTCTTATTACTACTAACGATAGCGAGATGCCCACACTGCGTGTGAGCCTGGTCGGAAGTGAGGATGTGCCCTGAACCCTGGCACGCTCCCGTCCAGCGATATACCTGTTTTGGAGAGGTGGGGGCCCTGGAACCGACCCAGGCTGCCCCACCTTCCAGCTTTGTCTCTTTCCAGGGGTGGATTGGAAGATGACCGATGTGCAGATTGCTACCAAACTGCGAGGGTGAGTAGCTCTCGGGGCCAGAAGGCCCTCTGAGAATCTTCTCGGGGTGTAAAATTATCCGAGTTCTTCTGGGTCTCCCTCCTCGAGGTTCTGGGCCTGAGGCCAGATGGGGTCTGGGGCGCCGGTGGCCATGTAGCCATGTCCCGGGGGCCGCTGACCTCCACCCACCGTGCCCCTGACGCCAGGTCTGGACCAGCAGTATCTATGCCCCCACAGAGGATCACCTGCGCCTCTGGGCTCCTCTTCCTTCTGGCTTGAGAAGGCTCATCATGATGCGGATGAGCAAAGGCCCTGGGAGTAAAATGGGGACGCCGAGTCTGCTCTAGTTTGTACTAACAAGGCGGATCACCCTCACACCAGAGAATGTGGACGTGCTGAATTCCTGCACCACCGTGTAATGGGGCTTTGGGGTAGAATTCAGGTTTGGGGTGCTGCTAGCTGAGGTAGTACCCAGCTGGACTCCCCAGCACCCCCGAAAGGATGGGGCATAACACCCTGGCCATGGCCACCCCACCGTAGGCCCCCCCAGGGCTCTCCCTCTGGGTGGGACTCCCGCTCAGCTCTCACTGTTTGGCTGCAGATACCAAGGCCTCAAGGAGAGCTGTTTCCCTGCCCTGCTGGACCAGTTTGCCTCCTCCCACCAGTGCAACCCCTTCTGTGAGATGCTGGGGCTCAAACCCCTCAAGGGCCCTGAGACTGCCCACCCTCAAGGCAAGGCCAAAGGCTCCAAGAGTCCATCCACTGGCAGGAAGGGCGGCCAGCTGAGTCCTCAGCCCCAGAAGAAAGGCCTCCCCAGTCCCCTGGGCACCCGGAAGAGTACTCCAAGCTCCAAGGCGCAGGGCCTGCGGTAGCCCCCACAGGAGGCTGGGGGCCTCCACCCAGCAGCAGACCAACAAGGAAGCAGCTCGAGGCGATGGAGACTCCCGAACTACGGAACTAACCAGAGAAGGTGCGCTGAGGAGGCGCCACGAGGGGGGCCTCTCTGAGCAGCCTCTCCGCAATCCACTCCTCATCAGATGGCTTTTGTGCATGGTGACACCCGGGGGGCTTCTCCTGGTGCCACCGTCAGCCGGGGCTCCCAGGCCCCATCCCCACGTGCCTGGTGGCCTCGGCCCTCCTTGAAGTTTACACTGGCCACTGCTGGAGGCTCCCCGAGTCCTCTGCATGAGCTCCGCACCCAGCCCCCCGCCCCGCCAGACCCTGCCGTGAATATCGTACTCTGGGGGGCACACCGGCCAGTGGTTACCCTTTACTTTGCTTGGCCCTGACCTCTCCCTGTCCTTGGGGCTCCGGGCGTCCTGCACTGTGTCTGGCCTGGTGACTCTCAGGGAGCCTTCTCCTTCCAGCTATTTGGCCTCGTGCCTCCCAGCGTGTCCTGCAACTAACCTGTCACTGAGCCCAGATGGGGCTCAGGACACTTCCAGAGCCTGTCTTGTTCTTGTGCGGTGGTCTTTGGTAATGCGTGTTCATGCCCTTCCTTCCCCCAGCACTCAGGCACTCACTCACCTGCTTCCCGCGCTCCTTTGCCCTCGCATCTCCCATCCCCAGCTTCCAGCTGCCTGGCAGCCTGCTGCCTTTCCTTCGCTGCCTCTCTGCTTGTCCCCTTGCCCAGGCGCTTCCCCAGCCCGATTCCGCACCCTGCCCACCAGTCCGCGCCTCCCCTGCCTCTCCCAGGCCCTCTGCCCCTGCGGGAGAGGTGAGAGGTGGCATGAGCATTGTGTCAGCAGCCCCGGCCAGCGCGCAGGCGTTGACTCGGAAGGACCTGGTGCTCCGCCCTGGAAAGATGTGCAGTCACAGTGAAGTTCACATCCCCTCTAGAGCAGGGATGGAGGGCTAGGGCTGGTCTCCGAAGGGGAGTGCACTGGGGAGTTGGAGGAAGGATGCAGTCCACCCACAGGCTGGGCTGAGGGGTCCCTGTGCCTGGGAAGTAGGACGCCTGCCCCAGCCATTAGCTCTTGATCCCGGGGCTCCAGCTCTGGGGCTTCACATATGGGCTCCCAAGGAATTGCTGTGCTCCGCCCAGCACCCCCGGGCCTTCCCGAGAGCCCCTCCTGGTGGCCTAGGAAGGGATGGGCCTGGTGCTAGCCAGCTCCCCTTGGAATGCAATAAAGGCAGCCACTGTGTACCCTGCTCGCCCTCATCTGGTATGGTTGTAGGTGTATGGGGTCAGGGCCCCCTCTCCCCAGGCAGGTTCTCCAAGGGCGCCTTACAGCCCCCGGACCCACTGCAGTAATGAATCCAGGCTTTGGCTCCTGGATGGACATTCAGTCTCAGCCTTTGTGACCACAGCGACACTGTGCTGCTTGCCCAGCTGGGCTGATGGGGATCTGGGGACTTAGGTCTTTGGAATTGTTCCTTCATTTGGGAGAGGAACACAAAGGAAGGAACCCAGGAAGGAAGAGCAGAGCTGGCGGCTCTGGGGAAATGTCCAGCGTCTCTGGCTGTCTCCAGTGCCCCAAGGCCGGCCCCGGGGACAACCAGCCTCTGCCTGCCAGCTGCTCACTGGCCCTTTCCTGCTTCCCACGCTGCAGAGGCTTCTTACTCCCCAACAACCCCATGCCACAACTTCCCTTGCCTGACATGTATGCCCCTCCGTTTTGACATTTCTGACTTCTCTACCTCTTGTGCTCAGGGCACTCTCCCCACTTTTTCCTCTTGCCCTCATGTGACCCAGTCTGCAGATCCAGATTGCCTTGGTGAACTGGGAGTTGGAATGTGATCCGTTCATTCATCTGTCCATTCAGCAGACATATGCTGAGCACCTCCTTCATGCCAGACCCCGAGTTGACAGCTGTGGGAGGCACAGATATGTGAGGTGGACTCAAAAGAAACTTTCCATTAGGTTCCTTGGGCTTTGAGCAACAGAAATGGACTCAGACCCACTTTAGCAAGGCAAAAGGGTTCGTGGGAAGGGTGCTGGGGCAGCTCCCAGAGCCAAAGGAAGAGCTGAACAATTGGGCTTGAGATGGTGGGAGTCAGTGGTGCTCTAGAGCTTGCATTCCGGGAGCTGCTGCCATGGGCTGAGCCACCCAACCAGCCATTGGGACTCCCTTCACTCGAGATTCAAATTCCTGTCCTAGAGCTCAGGGCACTCTGGAGTGGGACAGAGGCAGTTTTCCAAGGGACCGGGATTCTTTCCGGAAGAATGGTGGAGAGGGGGAGGGTAGAAAAGGACTTGGTGGCAACAGCAGAGACACTCCCCCATCCCCACCCACCCACCCACACACTGTTCTTCCCACCTGATGTATTACGACTCTCCCACATACAACCAAGAGTAAATTCCACTCTGCTTGGGGAGAGCATTCAAAGTCACGTCCAGTGACTAAGTCCAGGGGCTACCATTCTCCAAAGTCCAGTGTCACGAGTGACACTCTTCCCCCTTCTATCACAATCCCATTTTGAAATTCTGCAACCTGGGGAGTAAAATTAACCATCTTCAACCAACATTCTTGACCCCAGCAAGAAAGGAAGCACCGGTAAAGGCTGGAGTCCATTTCCAGAACAGGTCATGAGACCTAGTATTTCTGACTAGGGATTCTCTGCCTGTTGGAGTGACCCCAAGTTTCCGTCCTGAAGTCCGGCTCCGCAGTGGCCCTGCCCTGCCCCCTTCCAAGCAGCAGCAATCAGATTTTCCCTCGATAGGGTTAACCATCCTACTACTCCATGACCTCTTGTTGTGTGTCACTCAGAGCTATAAGGAGCCCGAAACAGCCAGGTGTGCCTCAGCTTCCAATTCACGTATTACTATGACATTTTGAGGATGTGTCTCCTTGGAGACTAAAACCTCTACACCAGCCTGGTCCCAACCCTCAGGTGTGTGGAAGGCACTGAGATGGAGGGATAGCTCACCCCTCTCCGCCTGCTTCCCAGCCTGTGAGGGCGAACGAACACCAGGCGATGCATGTCAGTTCCGAGCTTGTGCTATATCCTGTGGGTCGGACCCAACCTCTCAAGGTGGTGTTTCTCAGCTGGTGCCCTCACTGAGTTTTCAGCAAACTGTCTCATCATATTATCAAGCTGACTGCTCCTGGACTGCTGGGATCCTGACCAGATGAGTGAATGCCATAGGCATCAACCCATCACTTTACTTCTGCTGTAGAATGCATTCTTTGGTTGGATGCCCTATGTGGGGATGCCACATTGATGTTTACAGCATTTGATAAGTCCACGGATATTGATGGTGGGAGGCATGATGGATAAGGAAAGCAAATCCAAATCCAGATGAAGGGCCCATAGTGGTCGAGACAGATTCCTGCCCTCTTGAAGTGATAGGTGTAGACTCAGGGGAGGCTCAGCTGCAGGTCAGGAGGAGGGAGCATGGAAGAATGAGTGAGGAATTCACACCCATGGCCTACCTGTGCCTTCAGAGACCTATCCTGGAGCCTCCCCTTGAAGATGGAGTGCTTTTGGCCATGGCTCACTATGGCTGGGTGGATCAGCTAAGCCCGGTTCATGAGGGGCAGCATGGCCCCCTGCTATGCTGTAGCCAAGCATTTAGGCTCCTCCAGAGCCCAGTGGCAAGCCAGAGCGCCATGTCTCAAAAGGATGGTAGTTACTTGTTGGCCAGAGAATCACTTGGTTCTGAACCCTGAGTTTCCCCGCCATACTTTTCTTATTAGGACTTGCCACAAACTTCATTAGCAACAGGCCCCACATGGTTCCCCAATATGCCACAGACAGACAGACACCTCAAGCACCCTTGGATCTGTCAGGTCATGGGGCCTGGTAGGAGAACCATTCTCCCAGCCGGAGAACCTTCACTTGCTCTCGGCCCAACCCAAAGCTGGTGGCCTTCTAGGTCATTTGGTTCATGGGTTGGAACAAGATGCCCTAAAATGACATTTTTGCCTGGAATTGGGTCTTAGTGGTAAGGGATTAAAAATGCGGTAATTTGTTCTACATTATGGAGGAAATATTCTGACCTGATCAGACCCCTCAACCCCCAGGAATTTACCAAGACCCCCCCTTTTTTTTTTGCATTTTCACATGATTTATCTCCCACCTCTGACTCACATATGTCTTATCAAGGCATCTAGGGAAACTGCTGACTCCAGGCTCTATCAGCATGATGCCGTCAGTGTGAGGGAACACTGGTGGCGAGGGCAGTGTCCCTGTGGGCCAGGTGGTGGCACAGAGCTGGTCAGCTATGATATTCAGCTGGAGATGAACTCTTTCTGAAGTTCTTTGTTCATCAAAATAGAAGGAAAAAAATGAATTCACTAGAGCAAAGGATTCATACCAAATGTGAGGAGCTGGATGAATTTGCTTGAGCAAGAAGACCATCTCTGGAACAGCACCTGCAGTTGGAGACATCACTTTTTAAAGCTTACAGCGATCCAAAGACTTCTTGGTGTTTTGCACTGGTCAAGCTGAGCTGTGGTAGGAATCACTATGACTTCACTCTCAGGTCTTTGATAGTTACACTGATTTCTACATTTCCCCCAGGAATATGGTTCTACTTTTGATTTACCATTTTGGTACCATTTTGGTAGGGAGGGGGCTTCCAATGGCTTGTGCTTGTCCTATCTTACTAGGGTCATTCTTACCCCACACATCAGAGTGCCATTGTGGGAGGGATGTCTCCTTCAAAATATATCCATTTCAACTATTCACTCAAAATAATCCTGGGTTGGCTTTGAGATTCCACTGTCTACTGTGGTGCAAATTTGGTCTATTAATTATCCCCATTGGTTGGCAGACCACATGCTTTTCTTTTGCCCCCAGAAATTGGACTTAGCTTGGAGCCAGTATCCTACAGAACTCCTCTCCCCAAGTTTGGGTATTTTTCTTTTCCTTCTATAGTTCCCAGATAAATGGACACAGATCCCTTTAGGGAAGGCCAAGGAAGGTTCACAATATGCATTTAGTGTTAAAATAAGGTTTCCCTTCAGAGATACTTGGCTTACTCTCCATTGAAGGTCTGGAAATTAGTGCGAGATTTTGACTCCACCTTGGCAGCTTGAGACAGACCTGTTTGCCCAACCAGAAGTCTTTAGTTATGGTTATAACTAGGTAATATCTTAGGGAGTGTCTGGTCTTCATTCCTGGGACCCAGTGGTTGATTAGCCACCGCTCGAGGTCTGGTTTCCATGCCCATGACCATTGTGATGACTCCTCTACTTTGTTCCTTGTATCTATCTCTGCTGCTGAGATCAGGCTGCTCATTTTCACAGCAGCTCTCCCAACCAGCATTCCAGGCCTAGAGAGGAAAGCCAGCAGAACCTCACCCCTGTATTTCTCGTGGCAAGGAGCAAGACCACCTCCTGGGTCCTGTCGGAGGACAGGGAGAGGATGGATGGGCTGGATGCATGCAAGGGACCCAATAAAGCATTCTATTCTCCTGAGATCCGTGAGTTCCTGCTTTCTTGGATATTTGGTCTTTTTAATATAATTTAGCATGGGTCAATGTTTGGTCCAGATTTGTATTATCCACCCCCTACCCTGCAATGACTAAAAACTGTATCTAGCTGTTTGAGCTTCTGCATTACATGTAGATCTCTGGTGAGCAAACATATCAATAAATATCACCTGAAGCAAAATTATATTCTACCTATCTTGGTCAAACAGCCTTTAAAATTTTTCCATAAATGTTCCCTATAGTTTTTGACAATGTGTATTAGCTAGTGCATACAGTTTCTTCCAGGTGTGACTCTTCTTTTTCCTGATCTGATTCTGCCTCTCATCCCCTGAGCTATGCTGGGTGTGGATTCTGGTTATTGGCAGATCAGTAGTGTAGTGTGGGACAGGGTCTGGGTCTCAATTTTCTGACTTGATGGTGCCAATACCCCTGAGCTGATAAAACTCAGGGAGGCTGTCTCTTTCATTAAACTTATGAGAAAATGGGATTTGTGCACCAAAAACCCAACTCACTAATTTTTAATGAGAAATTTAACCATCCAGGAGACTGGACACGTGCGTTGACCTGAAAAAGCAAATTCTTCCCTTCTTCCGAAAGGAAAAGTTGTTTGGCAAGCTTAGAACAAGAGAGACAAACTTTAGTTCAAACCCAGCTTTCCTAGGCAGAGGATTTGGAGCTTGCTGCTTAAATTCCCCAAACTGAGCTGCCTCATCATTGTTTAAATCCTTTTACTAGAATTTATAGACTACCTATCATATGTAACAATTCTACATTCTGGGTACATAACCGTGAACAAAACAGACATAGACTCCTTCCCCAGAGAGCTTACAGTCTAGTGGGGGAGACAAACATTAAACACACACACCAATAAATGTATAATGGCGAATATATGTGTTAAGTACTACAGAGCAGAAGAATGGGAGAGAATACCAGCAGGGTGTGGGACTCGAATTAGATTGGGGCTCTCAGGAGCCAACCTGAAGGCATTGATACTGAAGCTGAGATCAGAAGGGTGTTGGTCAGAGGAAGGGGAAGAGCGTACCAGGCAGAGGAAACAATCCATGCAAGGTTCTGTGTCAGGTTGTAACAGAGGGACGGAACGAAAGCTCGTGTGGATAATGCATGGTCAGTGAGGGCACAGTGGTATCGCACTATGAGGTTCAGAAGGGGTGAGGCTAGACCATGGAAGGACATTTGCACTGAACCCCAAGAGCAGTGGTGTATCAGTTAGGATCAGTGGTTACTGGAAATGATAGAGAAGCCCTCCCATGATGGTAGTCTTAAGCAAGACAGAGTTATCTCTTCCTCAGGAAGAAGTCTGTAGGCAGTAGGAGATCTGGACATGGCCCACCTAGGCTGGCATGACAATTCTAGGATGTTGTCAGGGGGAAGGCTCCTCTGGATCTCTGCTCTGTCCTGCCAACCCAAGCAGTAGCAATTGACCCCAAGTGCAACATCATGAATAGAAGAACTAAAATGGTAATATAGCTGTCAAACAACAGATCCTCTTTGTATAGAGTCAACAGAGAATGCCTAAAGTTGACAATAAAAAATAGTGTCTATATATTTTTATCTATCAATCATCTATCCATCCCCCCATCTATTCATCCGTTTATCTATCATTCATTTATTTTATTTATAGAGGTTGCTACCAGAAGTGAATAGACAAGAATGGCCTGTCTGTAGGTGGGGTGGGGGGGTGGGTCTGGTCTCTGGTTTTCCTAGTTCTGGTCTCCCTGAGACTGTCCAGGGGTGAGATGCCTTTAAATTTCCTTTGCTGGTCATTGATGTGGCTCTTACTTGAAACAAAATTGCCTACCGAGGGACCCCCAACTCCTTCTGCTTCAGGAACCACCTATCAGTAATTGGGTCATATCCCATTCAACCAGGCAAATTTGAGCTCCGTTGTTGAATTACAGTGGCAAGGATGAGGATGATGGCACTCAGCCTTTAGCAGTATCTGTCTTTAGGAGGCTGTGGTTGTATGCCTGGAGCTGGCTCGGGGCAGGGGGTCCGGTCCTGGAACCCACAAGGCACCGTCCTCTGGCCTCGGAACGGATATGGCTCACAAATGGCTCTTTCCTATTATTTCCAAAGGCTAATGAGGCACAGCAGTTACTGTAACCCCCGCCTCAGAGGACATGGCGCATGTGCGGACAAAGGGACGCTCCCGGCACTTGCCATACGTACCCAGATGGTAGCGTTACGACAGCAGATGAGTCTATGGATTCCTGGCCTGACTTAATAGTGTAGTCAACTGCTCTGGCCACTGGCTTTTTAATGGCTGGAACAGTACATCCAGGTCCAGGGTGGGATACGGCCCTGAGGATTCAACTGGCTGTTGTCATTTCCAACCAAATTCAACACCCTGGTTTCACACTAAACTTCTTTGGTTCTACCAAACCCCCATGAGAATTCTCATTGGAACAAGGCTGCAGACAAAGCCAGGGTCCTGTCTGAGAGCCCCCTGAGGCAGGCAGAGGACCTATGGAAAAGACTCTGTTTTGGCATGGGCCCAGGCTTAGGATAATCCACAGCAGCCAGCGCCCTGCTTCCAGCAGCCTGGGAGTGAGGGGTCCGACAGAGCCAATCACTTCTCACCTGCAGTGGAGGCTTCTGCTGCCCTGCCCAGGCCCCCTTTACTGTGGGGACCCATCTCCCAGGTGCTGTGAGTTTGTTAGCTCACAGCTGCCCCTTGTCCGAAGAACTGCCCTGAGTCAAATGGAAGCCGCCTCACCTGGGAGGCAAAATGCTTCCTAATCCCTTCCCTAGTCCTTGGCCCACGACTGGCCTGGCCTGGCCTCAAGGCGAGACTAACCTATGGGCAAGTTTGTGTTCCAGAGTTTCCCTGTGGAATCCAACTAAAGTCAGACTCTAGTCAAGACCACACTCTTATTTTTACCCCTGCCTTATTCTGTATCCCTTCCTCCCCTTCTGCCAAGAGCACCCCCCTCCCTCGTAAATCACTTGAACAAGAATCCCCATCTCAGGCTAAGGAGTGTACCTAAGACCCTCAGGTGTCCTGCTATGTGGACTCTGCCATTGGAAGAGAAATCTCACTGGGGCTCTTCTTTTCTACCAGGGCAAAATGTGTGGTTTGGGGGCAGTTGGAGTCAAATTACTCAGGTTATGTGGGTGATTGCCCAGTACATCAGCCCCTGCAGAATAAATTGGTGCTGGGTCTTACTCAGGAAGTTGCTCAGAGACACAGTATCCCAGATTTCACGGGGTCTGACCAGAGAACACAATTCACAGCCATTGGCTTTAAGTGAAGAATCCATCCTGCCTGCCAAGCAGCTGGTGAGGTGGAAACATGGAGTGGGCACCGGAGAGCCGGCTCAGAACTCCCCAGTACAAACAGGCAGCACGGTGACCCTTGGGTCTACTTCGGGCTGTTCAACTTCTCCATGGTTGCTCCATTTATGGCGCTGGTCCCCCCATCACACACGTCCATGGAGGAAATGGTGACCAGTACCCATGTCCTTGGGTTAGTGTAAGGGTTCAAGGAGATCACGTGGCTAGAGCTTGTAGCACAACCTGGCACGTGCCAAGCTCTCAGACGCTTGGCTCTCAGCTGGTACCATGGTTGTTACCGTCTCTTGGAACTAGAGGATCCATCCCAGGGCCACTCACATGCTGCTCTTCTCCAAGGTGGGAGACCCTGGTATCTCTCCCTTCCCTCAAGGTGAGGTGGCCAGCACAAATCTCTGCCCCTACCCCTGACAGCCATCTTGCCAACTCTCATCCTATGGGAGACAGTCAGCATGGCCTCCTGACCCACAAGCTGGCCGATGTTTAGCTCCTGGGGTGGGGTCAGGCTCTCCTCAAGCCCCCATGGCCATGGAGTGAAGGGGATTGGCTGCAGCCTTTGGAACGATGAAACTTGCTTCTACTGGCATAGTGAAATGGAAAGGAAATGCTTGAAAATGAGTCATGGTGTGTAACTGGCAGGTCCACACAGGAAGAACAGTTGGTACAAGTCAGAGGAGAGTCAGATGAGGCTGTGTCTTTCATTCTACAGCACGATGTTATTGGTGGAACTCCACCTGGGTGGAGGGAGGCAAGATATGCCTGGAAAGCCTCAATGTCTAGATGTGACACTCAGAGGTCTTCATTTTTGTTCTTCCTAACAATTGTATGTAATTTGTGACGTCCTACCGGTCAGTACCTTTCCTACAGACACTACTGGTCTATGGTAGATTCATTTTATTGGCTGCTCCTAGGAAGCATAAAGTCCTCCGTGTGGAAACTTCTATAAAAATATCAGGTTTGGGGCGCCTGATCGGTTAAGCGTCTGACTTTTGATTTTGGCTCAGGTCATGATCTCAGGGTCCTGGGATGGAGCCCCATGTCATACTTCATGCTCAGAGGGGAGGCTGCTAGTCCCTCTCTCTCTCTCTCACTCTCTCTCTCTGACTCTCACCTCACTCTCTCTTAAATAAATAAATGAAAAATCTTTAAAAAAAAATATCAGGATTTGCTCTAAAGCTTAGTGGGTGCCATGAGACCACTTCTCTGACAGGGGAGGGGAGGAAACAATGAAGGGCTTATTTTTGCCTATGTAATTAACCAGCTTCTCAACTGTGACTCAGTGTCAGCTCCGGGCCAACAAGGCAATGGAGATCCTAATTAGTAGCCCCCACAGCCCCTGTCGATGGCTTGTGGAAAATGGTACACCTCAGAGGGAGGATACAGCCTTTGGTATAAAACCTACCAAAGCCAGGGACGTCATCCTTGAACCCAAGAGGATGACGTGAATTACGACCTATCTTGGTTTGTAGAACATCTTAGCTTGATCCAACTGAGAAGGAAACATCTCAATCTCTCATTATGTAAGAAGCTGATATGAGATGGAAGGGCAAGAAGGCTAGAACATAAAAGAACAACAAGGGAAATAGACTTCACAAAGTAGCAACCGGTTCAATATTTGGAGATAGTGATCTCTTAACTGTTTAGGGAAACTTCCCCCTGCCTGGGTGTGGGACCAGGTGTCCTTATTTAACCAGCCCTTTATTGTTGCTGAGATAGATGAGCCCCAGAGTCATCCTCTTGTTTTCTGTTGGGTAATGGCCATTTGTGCCCATCTGTTCCCAATGAATAGCCAGGGGTGAGGGGTAGACTATATCAGGGGGCCCTTGGAGAGTCATGCAAAGGCAGCTAGGGTGGTGGTGGGCCGGGATGGTGGGGGGGGGAACGGTTTTGGTCTTTGGGACATTGGACATCTTTCTTCCCTTGTGAACACGTGGACGTGCTATACAGCTTCTAGGAAGAACACTGTGCTCTAAGTCTTGGAAGAGTCCATTCCCAAAATTTATAAAATTTATAGGAGTTACAACTAGCCCAAACTATTTCTTCAGCTTTTGTATTTTGCCCGATGTCATCAGAATTTGTATATGCTTCGGGTTTGGAATATTTCTGCTACGACTATAGGAAGCCCATCTTTCAATGCCCCAAATAAGAAAGGAAACATTGTATGGAATTACTGGATGTCCTTTCTGTCAACCAGCTGAGGATTAAGAGACAGAAGCAGGTTTAGGAGAGAAGGATGACAAGCTCATATTTATGGAACCTGACAGCAAGAGCCTCTCTTGCTGTCTACTGCTTGGGCACGGAAACCGTGTCTAAGAGCCGAGAAGGAGTGTGAGCAAAGTCATGAGAAGAGAGTGAAGAGACTGTTGAACACCCCTTCTGATAATATCTGCCTCTGACAGTTCCGAACGGCTCACTCACCACCTATACAAACATTCTCTTTCTTCTCTCAGAGCCTGCCAAGGAGAAGGGATTCTCTTCCGCTCTGGCCAAGAATTGCCCCGACACAGGAAGTGACCCCAGGAAACAGACACCAGAAACTGGTGCGTGGCTGCCTCTGACGAGGGGGATGGGGGCGGGAGAGGTGGAGCAGGCCCTTCAGTACAAATCCTCCTAAGTGCTATTTTGTTTTGATTGGAAGGGAAAGTATATATATATATACTGATATGGGAAAGTAGATAGATAGAGACACAGATATGGTCCTCGCCTCTGCCCTGGACCCAGCGCTCCCCGCCACATCCCCAGCTCAGTCCTGCTCTTCCCTCAGCCCCCGCTCCCCATGGGTGGGACCTCAGAGACCAGCTCCTCAGGAGGTGGGCACAAAGAGGGTGAGGGGACAGCTGAGGCTGAGCCTGATGGTGCACAGCCAGGACCCTTGAGGTCCTCCAGCTCCGGGTCTCTCCCTGTGGAGGTGGAGGTGCTCATCCCAACCTATCCAGCCTCCCAAACGCCAGCCTGGGGCTCTCAGCCAAATTCCACCAAAACGCATTTGGCTTCTGGGGTCCAGGATCACTTGAGGGGATCTGGGGTCACTCCTTGAGGGGAGGAGCAGGGGAGAAAGTCCTCCAGGAGAGCCTGGAGGAGGAGAATGGTGTCAAGGCATCCCCGAGATGTGCCCTGTGACAGTGGTGAGCCCTGCCAGCCACCATCAGTATTCATTTATGAGGTAGGTACTACTACCCCCCCTTGTTAACTTGAAAGAAACAAGTTAACTTTCAGAGTCTTTAGGCTCTGGCTCAGGGTTCAGACCATGACACACCACCTATGAAATCCATGTTTTAGATCAGGGCACACAAAAATGTCAAGGGTTTAAGGGGCAGCAGAGGGAATGTTTGGAAGCAAGCTTGGCTGCTCCTGGATGTGCTCTACCCCCTGGCTTTCCTCGGGCACCAGGAGAAACCAAGAGAGGAGGGGAGAGGTGAGGAGGCCGAGGGGAGGGGAGGGGAGGGGGAAGAGGCTAGAAGCAGAGAAGCAGGTGCAGCCTCTCTGGGGCTTGACAAGGCCCTCTGCCAGGACGGCTCCTAGCCCACAGAGGCGGGCGTCCTTTAGGATAAACCAGGTGACACCATGGACATTGAGTTTATAATCAAGGCCGCACAGGGGTCCCCAACAGAGTGAGGGGGGCAGGGTGTGGATCTCTGCCCCAGATTGCGAAAAAAAGCTGGTGTAGTCGGAGCCTCCTTTGTAAAAGGAATAACATAAAGGCAAAGTCTGGAGAACAATTCCACAAACTCAGCGGGTCGTCTCCAGGGGGCTCCGCTTAGAGGGGTTTTTAACTTGCTGTGTTCTGTATATCTGTATCTGTATACGGCGTTTCACGAAGCACGTGTAATGCTTTGGTAATCAGAGTGACAGACAAAAAAATGTTTTTAAAGGCAAGAGGCACCCCCACCCTCCATCCATCATCCTCTCCGAACGTCTAGAACAACCAGTATCTGCAGGTAATCCCACCACCTGTGTTACCAGGAAATGTTTATGCATCACATGGGGTTTTGTCCTGAGTGTGTATAATTAATTATTAAAGAGATGTTCACCCTGTCAGAACAGTTTAATGTTTAGTTGGAGGACTGAAACATTAAAGTTTGTCCCTTGACTTCGCACACTGTTGCCTTGGCGTCGGCTAAAAAAAGAAGATACAATTACACGGTATGTTAACTAACTGGAATTTAAATAAAAATTTGAAAAATAAAAAGAATAAGAAATAAGTTACTTATATGGGGAGGAAGGGAAGGAAGGAAGGAAGGAAGAAAAGGAGGGAGGAAGGGGCCAACAGCGTGATTGCGTTCCATTGTCCTGACGTTATGGAGGCTTGGACGTGAACCGTCGCTGTTTGTGACTGCTACCTGCTTTCCTTACCTTCGAGCTCAGGGAAAGGAGGTTGTTGTCATAATCACCGATTCCGTGAGGAAGGGAGACTGGTGAGATGCAAGATGAAAGCTAACGTGCATGATCCTCCAGCCTGGGTAACCTCGAGGGCCGGTGCAGAAGGAGGCCATGGGGGCGGGGGCGAACTTAGAGAGGGTGAGAATAGTGAAGACAGGCTTCCTGGAAGAGGTGGGCCCATGTGGGAGAGGGGAGAGTAGGGAAGAGGGCATCTCAGAGGAGGGAGGCAGATGAAGTTTGAAGGCAGGAGCCCAGTGGGCCAGGCCCAGAGTGGGGCCCACTGGCTCTGTTTTCCCTTTTCCCTGAGAGAGGTTGGGGTCCCTGCCCCGGCCGCGGCCCTGGGCCTTGGAGAGGGCGCTGGACCGAGCTGGGTGGGAGGCCCAACCTCTTCCCGCTCTGGACTCTGCCCAGGAATTTGCACTGAAAAGAGAAGACGGGCCAAAGTGCAAGCAGGTTGAAGTCATTTTGTCCCCGTGGAAATACGCGCTTCTGTCCTTTCCCGAGAGTGACTTGTTCACCACAATATGTGAGTAGGACGGGGGTCCTGCCTCTCCCCGGACAGTTGTGCATCTGTGTGTGTGCACAGATAGCTAGGCATTCCTGGGCTCTGCTTGTGTGTGAACTTGCACATGTCTCCTTGCTCGCATGTGCACCCATGTGTATGTGCCTCTGAACGTGTGAGTTTAACCAGGCCGGTGTTTGGATGGAGTAGGGTGCTCCCCAAGGGGAAGAAACAGGAGTGGGGAGAGATTTGGTCTTAGCTCAGGCTCTTATTCAGATGAGTTAGGCCTATGAACTGCAGCAAAAAAAGGACTATTGGCTTTCAGAATTGAAAGGTCCAGTGGTGGGACTGGTTTCAGGTCTAGCTGGATCCAGGGACTGGGAGAGTCTTTGGGATATTATTTTTCCAGCTTTCAGAGGCGGGACAGTATAATACGGTGAAGCTATCACTTAGTGGCAATGGCTTTAACCTGCTATGGGAGTGATGAGAGCTAGAGGTTCTTTTACATGATTCCTTCCTTGCCCTCCCTGTGAGGTGGGCAGAATTTGCCCTGCTTCTGCTGCCCTCCCCCAGATATGCAAGGACTCGCGTCCCACGGGTTCAGAAGTGAGTGCAGGAAGGGGCGCCTTCCTCTGTGGCTCCCAGGCCCAAGGAGGGTTGAGCTCCGGGATGATCAAAGCGGCACCAGGCATCTGCTCCCTGTTTCCACCCTCTCTCATCCTCCTCCCTTCTCTGGGCCCCCCACCTGGGTCCTGCCTTGCCTTCTGCTTTCAGCTTTGGGCCCCGACTTTGTCTTTCAGCTGGAAGATCGGGCACATGGAAGACAAAACACCAAAACGAAGAGAGTCCATCTCGCTCACATCTGTGGCCAATGGTCTGGAGAACAAGGGGGCTGAGCTCTTGGAAAGCCTGGTCTGTCTCCTTCCCCTTCCCCATTTTGGCCCCTTGGGGGGAGGGCCCTTTGTTCACCATCTTCCTTCACCCCTCCTACCTCTTTGCTTGAAAAATTAGGACCTCCCTGCCCCGCAACCTCAATGTGCAGCCCCTTTATTTCGCTCATTAACCCTGTGTTGTGGACCTGAGATGTGCCAGGAGCACCTGCCCTAGTCTGAAAGGCTGGAGGGGACGTTTGAGCTGTGATCTAAAAAACAAGGAGAGACCACGTGATTGGAGGTGGGGTGGGGGTGGATCTCTGGGGAGGCCTCAGCCTTTAAGGAGCTGGCCCTCTTGTCCTTGCTCCGAAATGGCCAAGTGGAGGCCCACCACCCAGAACTCTGGAGCCGAATATGACACCCTTTTCCCTCCCAACCTCCCCTGACAAAGCCCCCTGCCCCTTCAGCACACTGAGCAACCCCGGGGTGTGCCTTTCACACTGTAACCTCTACCCCCCGAAACACAACTCCACAGACGAATGGAGGGCAAACGGTGTCCTGGAGCCATGCCACGAGGTGGCCCCACCTGAGGCTTCCCCAACCACCCACCGCCGAGGCTCCAGGGTCCCCTCTGCACGCAGCCCATGAGCTCCCTGAGGGCGGGATGTGTCTGGCACCCAGTCCAGCACACAGTAGGCGCTCAATGTGCACTTTGCAGAATTTAATGAAGTTGTCCTCTAATGACTTCCTGTGCAAAAGCCCAGCCCGCACCCCAGCGCCCTCCCGACATGCCCATGGGCACACAGCGGGCAGGCAGGGTCCCTCTCCGCTCTCACTTGGGGCAGGAGGCACACTCTGGTCACTGTCTGGTGGCTTTAGGAGGAAGGCCGGACCCCTGGCAACGTCTCAAGCCCTGCAGAGGGTGGGGACAGCTGGACCGAGGCTAGCCCGGAGACCTCAGGACGGTAGGTGGCCTCCAGGAGGGATGTGGGTTGGCCTGGGGGGCAGGGACAGGAACCTGGCCTCCTGACAATAGGGAGGGGGCTTCCAGAACCTTTGTCGCCAAAAGGAGCAAACGTGCTTTAGCGGACGAATGCGCACTGCGGCCTGCTGCCTCAGGGGTGAGCCCGGCCGGAGGCTCCCACCCGGCCTTGAAGGGGCCACAACCAAATCCCCGCAGGAACCGCACTCCATACCGTGGGGCCCTTCTGACTGAAGCCGGATGGGGGCCCCGAACCTCCCCGCCTGCCTTCTACCCCACTGGGTCTCTGGGGCATCTCGGGGAACCTCGAGGCTTAGTTGGAAAAACCCTGGCCTGGGCCGGTCCCCTCATTTCCCGTGGGGAGGCTGAAGCCCCGAGAGGAAGAGAGACCGGCCCTGGTCACACGGGCAGCAAGTGTGAGCCTAGAACTCGGTCTCTTGAGGCCCAGGCTCGCTGGGGTCCCCACTGGCCAGATTCTGAGCTGAGGAGAGCACGAGGCGGAGGGGTGTGGAGGGCAGGGAGCCCAGCTGTGTGCCTCGGATGGGAGGTTGGGGAAGAAGGCCTCCCTTAGGAGGAGGGAGGTGGGGACAGGGAGGGGCGGGGCGTCCCTAACACAGCCCCCTCCCAGGGGCCGCCTTTCCTCCCGGGATACACAGGCGGCCAGGTGCGTGGGCGGGGGGGAACTGCAGGCGTGGGGCGGGCTGTTCACATGCTGGGAGGGGCTGCTGACTCAGGTGGTGAGTCTCCCGTCCCCCGGGAAGAACCCCGAGCTGGGACGCAGACGGGTGGAAATGGGACAGGGAGGCGCGGCGGCCGTCCTGGTTTGCGCCCTTCTGCGGGTGGGCGGCTCTTCCTCAGCATCTGGGTTAACTCCTTCCCGAGCCCGAGGGCAGAATTCTCAGGAGGGTCGCTGCCGCTCCAGGCTGAGGCTCGGCTGATGTGGACGGTGTGGGGGGCCTGGAGCATTCCTCGGTTTGCTCTGGGGTGGGGTTGCCCCGGTCCTGTGATGTCGAGGCCAGCGCCCGGCTCGGCCCATGTCTCCAGTGCACTGGGGATGTGCCTGAGTGGCCTCTCCCTGAGGTGTTGACACTGGGAGTCCAGGGCCACGCGTGGACTCTGCCGCTCCTGTCCCCAGGCGGAGCCCGTGGCCGGCCCTGAGGGCCCGACGCTCCTGCAGGGAGCACGCACAGCTTTTTCGATGGATCTGCTCGGGCCTGCTCTGTACAGGTGAGCCTGGGGCCCAGCCGCACCTGGCAGACAGCCATTCCCAGCCCCCACCACCCGCCATCCAAGTCTCAGGGCCTCCACTAATCCAATAATTCAACAACCGACTCGGGGCCAGCTCCGTGCCAGAAGCTGGGACATCAGAAGGAAGCCAGAGCGGGTCTTATTCCCAAGGTCGTCTCCGATCAGTGAGGGAGAGGGGAGCTAGTATTTCCACGTGATGCAGCCAGCCATCTAGGAACACCAGAGAAAGATGGGAGCGATCAGGGAGGACTTCCAGGAGGAGGTGACATTCAGGCCTCACCGGTGGAGCAGGAGCCAGCCGGGGACGCAGCAGGACAATAAGGGGTGAGAAGGCACTCCATGCAGGACTCCAGGAGCAAAGGTGAAACCCGGCGCGGTGCCGGCTGGACTGTTCCACCAGAGCCAGAGAGAGCCATTGAGGGATTTAACAGGCAAGCGTTGGGGCCAGATCCACACTGTGGGAGCCTGGGAGAGGCAGGCAGGGGTGAGGGGGGCTGGTGAGGGCAGCAGTACATGGGTGAGAAGACGAAGTGTCAGGACGGAGAGACCCTCGGGAAACTCCTCCAGGGACGCGCCGAGAATGAATCGCGAGGGGCGTCAGTGACCGCGGTCTGGGGACCAGCCGCGCAGGGGGCGTTGGCAGAGGGAGCGGCGGGGCGAGCCTGAGGGGCTGTGGGGGTGGGGGGGTCAGGAGGGGTGAACAGCTCCTGTGCAATAAGGGGAGCAGCGGAACAGGGACGGAGGAGCGGCCAGGGGATTTAGCGCCAAGCAGGTCACTAGGGAGCAGCGGGGGGAGGGGCTGGATTGAGTGAATGGGAGGTGAGGCAGTGTAGACAGCAAGTGTAGACAGCTCTTTGGAGGGATTTTTTATGAGGACAGGTGGGAATATTAAGGAGGGTGTGACAGTGTAAAGGAAGGGGTGTGTTGCTGACAGGAGACACTTGGACTGTGTTTGTGAGCCGAGGTGGGGGCTGGGGGGTGGGGGTATAGAAAGAAGGGGGAAGGACGAGGAGACAGATGGCAGGTGGAGGGCAGGCCCCTAGGCCCGGGGAAAGAGGGCAAGGGGACCAGTGGAGGGGCGGGTCACCTGGTCCTGCAGGAAGGAGATGGAGAGGGTGTGGGTGTGGATGCAGAAGCCCCTCCCCTCCCCTCCCCTCCCCTCCCCCCCCTCCCCGCCTCAGGGGGCCAGGCAGGGAGAGGACACGGAGCGCCATGATGGCAATGGCCCTGGTCTCCATGTTGAAAGCGAAAGCAGGGCCGTCTGCTGAGATGGGCTGGTTCATGGCCCTTCGAAGCTTCCTTCTAGAGATGTCTGAGACAGTGAAGTCTTCCTTTGGCAGGATCTGAGCCCGGGCCTTCTCTGTCCCCCTTGCCTCCACCCTCACTCAGACTCAGACTGGTTCCTCCTGAAGAAATGATTGACACGAGCACCTGGGGGGCTCAGTCAATCATCCAACTCTTGCTTTCAGCTCAGGTCATGATCTCAGGGTTGTGAGATGGAGCCCCGTGTGGGGCTCCGTGCTCACCAGGGAGTCTGCTTGAGATTCTCTCCCTCTGCCCCTCCCCCCAATAAATAAATCTTAATTTTCATGATCTTCAATCATTCTTTATCTATCTCCTCCTATCTTGCCTTTGTCGTCACTGTCAGTAAACGATCCTTTACAATGGCCGATCTCGATTTTCTCCATGTTTGTGATCTTGCTTTCCTCCAGCTCTTTGATAACTTCACTGTATCGTGTCTTTTATGGTGAGGCCCTTCGCATACTTTCTGGGAGTAGGTGCGGCAGAATGATGAAGCTCGTGTTCTCAGCACTGTGTGCCTGAGCCGTAGCCATGGTGTCCTCCCCTTAGGTGGGCTCTCTCCATGGGTGCAGAGATAGCCCTGGCTGCTGACCAGTCTCAGAAGAAGACCCATATTTCTGGCCAAGTCGCCGGAAGTCTTTGATTGGGTCATGTACCCCTCCCTGGGCTCCTACTGGACCACATGGGCTCAGAGTGGAAGCAGAGGAGTCCTGTCACCAGAGGGGTGAGCAGACCCTAGAAGAACACAAATAATTCCGAAGACACGTCTCTCCATGCCCTGTCTGGGGGACTTGTCCACCCTGCCTCCTCTCCCGCACAGTGTGCCAGTCCCCCCCCACCCCCGAGTCATGGGGCCCTGAGACAGACAGACCTGGGTAGGAATTTTAGCTCAATTCCCTCCCAGTGTGAGTCACCCTGCTTCGCCGACCTCAGGTGCCTCATCTCTAAATGGGGATCAGCACAGACCCGGCTGTGGGTGGTTACGAGCAGGAACCCCACAAGGGCTGGGAGGTGCTGAGTGCAGCACCCCTCGGCCTCCCACGGCCCTGGGCCTGCATCCCCGGCCCTGCCCCCAGAGCCACATCTGCGTGCCCCTAAGTGACATCTGTGCAGGTCGGAGGCCCAGCCCGCAAACCTCGGTGTGAGAGGAAGGGAGCTTGCTTTCTCAGAACTCGACTCCTGTGCTATTTCAATTTCATCATCCCAGCTGCGTGATCGGAACTTAATGTCTGTCAATGTGGAATGTTCCTTCACCCCTTTCCCCAGGAGTCCCCCCCACCTCATAGCCGCTATCAGTCCTCAGCTGTGTCCTGACCTGCCCACTTCTGCGGCTGGTCCTAGGTCCTCTGCCCTTGCAGGTAGCCATGGAGATGCCCCCGTCTCCGTCGGGGTCTGTTCTGGTCCTTCCCCTCTCCTCTTCCGAGCTCCTCACAGAGATCACTTCTGCTGCTTGAGGGCCCGCTCTGCTGTGCAGAACCCCAGAAGCTTTCTACGGCTCTGCCTGCCCACCCAGCGCGGGTGCTCCTCTCTCTGAAATCTCCCTCCCTGCCTCCCTGGGGCAGGGCTCCTCTGTTCCCAGGAGCCACCACCGCCTCCAGCTAGTCTGTCCTCAACTAGTCTGTCCTCCAGCTAGTCTGTCCTCTAACCACTGTCTTCCAGCTAGTCTGTCCTCCAGCTAGTCTGTCCTCTAACCACTGTCCTCCAGCTAGTCTGTCCTCTAACCACTGTCTTCCAACTAGTCTGTCCTCCAACTAGTCTGTCCTCCAACCACTGTCTTCCAGCTAGTCTGTCCTCCAGCTAGTCTGTCCTCTAACCACTGTCTTCCAACTAGTCTGTCCTCCAACTAGTCTGTCCTCTAACTAGTCTGTCTTCCAGCTAGTCTGTCCTCCAGCTAGTCTGTCCTCTAACCACTGTCCTCCAGCTAGTCTGTCCTCTAACCACTGTCCTCCAGCTAGTCTGTCCTCTAACCACTGTCTTCCAACTAGTCTGTCCTCCAACTAGTCTGTCCTCCAACCACTGTCTTCCAGCTAGTCTGTCCTCCAACTAGTCTGTCCTCTAACCACTGTCTTCCAGCTAGTCTGTCCTCCAGCTAGTCTGTCCTCTAACCACTGTCTTCCAACTAGTCTGTCCTCCAACTAGTCTGTCCTCCAACCACTGTCTTCCAGCTAGTCTGTCCTCCAGCTAGTCTGTCCTCTAACTAGTCTGTCTTCCAGCTAGTCTGTCCTCCAGCTAGTCTGTCCTCTAACCACTGTCCTCCAGCTAGTCTGTCCTCTAACCACTGTCTTCCAACTAGTCTGTCCTCCAACTAGTCTGTCCTCTAACTAGTCTGTCTTCCAGCTAGTCTGTCCTCCAGCTAGTCTGTCCTCTAACCACTGTCCTCCAGCTAGTCTGTCCTCTAACCACTGTCTTCCAACTAGTCTGTCCTCCAACTAGTCTGTCCTCCAACCACTGTCTTCCAGCTAGTCTGTCCTCCAACTAGTCTGTCCTCTAACCACTGTCTTCCAGCTAGTCTGTCCTCCAGCTAGTCTGTCCTCTAACCACTGTCTTCCAACTAGTCTGTCCTCCAACTAGTCTGTCCTCCAACCACTGTCTTCCAACTAGTCTGTCCTCCAACTAGTCTGTCCTCAGCTAGTCTGTCCTCCAACCACTGTCCTCCAACTAGTCTGTCCTCAGCTAGTCTGTCCTCCAACCACTGTCCTCCAACTAGTCTGTCCTCCAACTAGTCTGTCCTCCAACTAGTCTGTCCTCAACTAGTCTGTCCTCCAGCTAGTCTGTCCTCTAACCACTGTCCTCCAACTAGTCTGTCCTCCAGCTAGTCTGTCCTCTAACCACTGTCCTCCAACTAGTCTGTCCTCTAGCTAGTCTGTCCTCTAACTAGTCTGTCCTCTACCTAGTCTGGCAGCACAGGGGATAGGGTAGGACTTACACTTATTCACAATGATGCAGCCCATATTTTTACCGAGTGGAAGAACTATAAGTCCTTTCCATTCTTCAAGGGCCCTGGCTTCTGAAACTCATAAGGCAGGGAGAGACACTTCCCCCTCTGCTCTCCCCTGTCATATTCCTTTCTTGAGGCAGAGCACAGGTTGGCTTAGCTACTCGAAGAGGAGAGGAGCAAGCGGGGAGAAGGAAATTCTAGGAAGAAAATGGTCCATATTTTCAGAGTAGGATCCTGGCACACATGAGTGAACTCCATCCCGGAGTGACTGTCCTGTCCATCTCCGCCCACCATGGAACCCCGTGTGATCTGGGACAGAGCAGGCCCTCCGCTGATGCTCGGAACCCCCTCCTTACATACTCTCATCCCTCACAGCTGGTCAGCAAGTTCAAGGTGTGCAAAGCCCCTCCACACACCTTCCTCAGTTACTCGGACCAACCCTCCAGCACAGCCCGGGATGATTGTCCCCAATTCCAGCTGAGACAGCTGAGGCACAGAGGTCCTCCGTGCCCTGGATGGGACAAGGTGGAGCTGGGGGGCAGGGGGGCTGGCCCAGGTCATTGTCACTGACCCCTCTCTGTTTCATTCCCCCCCCCCCCCCCCAGCGTTCGCTGCCTTCCTGCTGACTGCCAGCATCCTGGATTTCCAGAGGGCCCTGGCACTCTTTGTCCTCACCTGTGTGGTCCTCACCTTCCTGGCCCACAGCCTGCTGAAGAGGCTGCTGGGACACACACTGCTGAGGTGTGTCAAGCCTCTGGGGCATTACCGCCTGCGCCTATGGTTTGAGAGGTGAGTGAGCTCACAGCCCCAGGCAGGGTGGGCGGGCCGTTGGCTGAGGCCTCTGAGTCTGCTCCGGGGTCACCACCTGGCCTGGGTGAGGAAGGCCTCAGTCCTTGCCCCGCCCGGGGGGTTCCCCGGCAATGGGGCACCCTCCCTTCTGTTAGCCCCCTGGGAGCCCCGGGTCACCTGAGAACAGGACTCAACAGTTTCCTAAGCTCAGAGGTTCCAGCCCACCCAAACAGGGAGGGCCCATGTCGGAGCCTCCTATGGGATCACCGGGGGCAGGAGAGACAGACAGCTGCAGGGGACCACCCCTGGAGTCAGAGTCCGCAGGATGGATTGGGGTCCCGGTGTCCATGAATTTAGTGAACCCCCAGGGGATTCTCGTGCCGCCAGCCATGTTCCTGGACAGGAGTTTGGGATCCCCTGGTTTTCAAACTGGGTTCCTTAGAGGTCTGGAAACCTTGGAGGTGCCATAGGGCGGGAGATATTGGAGGGGGGACCATTAGACCCCCCTCCCCAAATCCCCATTACAACCAGGAAGCTCTATTTTATCTGTTTTATAAACTGAGGTTTGCAAAAAATAAAAATAAAAATAAATAATTAGCTGGAAAAAAAGGTTTCTGTGGCTTAAAAAAAATCTGAAGACCCCCATTCTATTTCAGGACTCCATTTTGTTGATAAAGAAACTGGTGCTCAAGGATATCCAGTGACTAACCTAGGGAGCTACCACAGCAAAATGATTTGAGCAGGCCTATGGATGAGCACATTTTTTCATCTTATTTATAAATACATGTATAATAAATAATAATTACTATTCATAATTATAATGTATAATTTTAAATAAATTAAATTTTTAAAAATTAATAAATTATATAAACTGAATAAAATCTAAAAATTTTATAATTTGTTATAATTAAAATAAATTTATAAATAGATTTTTTTTTACAATTGGACTTTTATTAGACTAGTACAGTATTAACTCTACGCAGATTGTGCTATGCTAAGGATGCACATTATAATCCCTGGAGCAGCTAAAAAAAACTAAAAAAACACAAAAGGGTGTCACTTAAATAATAATAAAAGAGTTAAATAGTTTTGTGAAAGGATTTGTTTATACAATCATCTATTTGTGACTAATCATTGATACTGGCTTTCCATTGGAGGTATTGATGTAAGGTTTCCTTTAAAAAATACATGCAGATTAATTAGACTTTATGAAAAGTAAAAACTTTTTGATTCAAAGGATACCATCAAAAAAGTAAAAAGACAATCCACAGAATGGGAGAAAATATTTGCAAATTATGTATCCGATGAAGGACTTGTATCTAGAATTACAGCTCAACAATAAAAAAACAACCAAATTGAAGAATGGGAGAAGGATTTGAATAGACATTTCTCCAAAGATATACAAGTAGCCAGTAAGTACATGAAAACATGCTTAACATCATTAGCCATCATAAAAATGCAAATCAAAACCACATGAGATACCACTTCACATTTACTGGGATGATAACAAAAAAGACAGATGATAACAAGTGTTGGCCCAGTTATGGAATCCTCGAACTCCTCATCCACTACTGGTAGAAATGTGAAATGGTGCAGCTGCTTTAGAAAACATTAGTTTCAGGTGCACGTGGTGACTCAGTCGTTAAGCGTCTGCCTTTGGCTCAGGTCATGATTCCAGTGTCCTGGGATTGAGCCCCGCATCAGGCTTCCTGCTCGGTGAGGATATGTAGCAATTCCATTCCTAGGTATATACCTAAGAGAAATGAAAACATATGTCTATTCAAAAATTTGTACACAAATGTTTATAGCAACATTATAATGCCAAAAGGTGGAAACAACCCAAGCATCCATCAACTGCTAAGTGGATAAGTCCAATATGTATATCCATATGATGGAATATTATTTGGCCACAGAAGGGAAAGTTACATGCTATAATAATGACAAAGCTTGAAAACATGCTAAGTGAAAGAAACTGGTCACAAAGAACCATTTATATGAAACGTCCAAATTGGCAAATCTATAGAGACAGAGAGTAGATTAGTGATTGACTAAGGTTGGGGGGAATGGATGGAAAGATTGGGGGTGATGGCTAGAGGTTCTAGGTTATTCTTTGGGCTGATGAAAATATTCTAAAATTGATTGTAGTGATGGTCACACAACTCTGAATATACTGAGGACCCTTACACTATATACTTTATTTTTTTTAAAGATTTTATTTATTTATTTATTTGAAAGAGAGAGAGAGGGAGAAAGCACGAGCAGGGCGAGCAGTAGGCAGAGGGAGAAGGAGAAGCAGATTCCCAGCTGAGCAGGGAGCCTGATGTGGGACTCAATCCCAAGACCCTGGGATCATGACCTGAGCTGAAGGCAGATGCTTAGCCAACTGAACCACCCAGGCACCCCATACACTGTATACTTTAAATGGGCAAATTGTATGGTATGTGAATTTTGTCTCGATTTAAAAAACACATGTATTTGATATTGGCTTCCAATCAAGATTGAGTAACAGAGGCCACTTGAAACAACTAAAGAACTGGAACAAATATATGAAACAATAGCTCTTAAAATATTGGACATCAGGCAGCAGAAGACAGTGATCCTGGAGAAACAGGAAACAAAGGAGATGAGCCCTATGATTGCTCCACCCCTTAATGCATTGAGAGAGTTTCCAGGCCACAGTGCAGGGAAAGGGAACCAAGGTGGGCCAGGAGATTTCCTGGGTTGAGAATACAGAGCTGGGAAGCCAGGGAAGCCAAGGTGGTAAGAGTTCACAATGCAGAGTATGAGAGAAGACAGTGGCACAGAGAGAAAACTTCAGAAATCCACTAAGGGTCCTCTTTGAGTGTGCAACTGAGTTTTGATCAGTGAATGCATACAAGAAAACCATCCCAAAGCCTAGGAAAGACCCACCTGAAAGGATTAGAGGGAACAGTGCCTGGAAGTCACACAGGGCCAGAAATAGTGTTTATTCTCAACGGTCAGAGTGGAAACTTCATAATTCCACAGGGAATTGTTTAGAGTACTAAAGATCTTGGATCAATAGTAGGGAAAAATTAACCATAGAATAAACCCTGCTCAGGCTCTGCCTAACAAATCTTAAAAACAAAACTTGAAAGAGTCCAACAAAACATCAGTTAACCATGGCACATCTTTAAGTGGGTACATGTACCTGAGGTCTCCAGAGGAGAAAGAGGGAAGAAAAATTTACTTGAAGAAATTGTGTCCAAAATATTCCAATTTGATGAAGATTATAAACCCAAAGAAACTCCATGAACCCCCAGCACAAGATACAAGAAGAAAACCACACCAAGGCATATCATAATCAAATTGCTTAAAACTGGTAACAAAACAAAAAATTCTAAAAACAGCTAGAGAAGAAAACATGTGCAGAGGACCAAAGATACAGATGACAACCGATTTCCTCTCAAAAACAATACACATGAAAAAGCAATGGAATAGTAAAAACAAAACAAAACAAAAATCTGTCAATCTAGAGCTCTTTACCAGTGAAAGAACATCCTTCCAAAAAAAGGAGAAATAGGACTCTTTTAGATATACAAAAGCTGAAAGAAGTTTTCAGACACCAAAAGCAAACCTGCACTGTAAGAAATGTTGAAGGAAATTTTTCAAACAGAATGAAACTGAGATCAGAGGGAAATCTAGTGAAGAGCATTGAAATGGCAACTATATGGGTAAATATAACAACTATTTTTATTATTATTTAAATCTCTTTCAAAGGTAATCAACTTATAAAGCAAGAATAATAGTGTATTGTGGAATTTATATTATGTAGAAGTAAGGAGCAAGGTTAGGGAGGGAAGAAATGAAATTATATTGCTATAAGGTTTTTATACTGAATGTGAAGTAGTATCATATCACTTAAAGGTGGATTGTGATAAGTTAAAGATGTATATTATAAATGCTAAAGCAACCACTAAAATAACATGACAAGGAGTTATAACTAACAAGTTAAAAAAGCGAGTGAGAGAGATAAAGGAGAATCATTTTAAAATAATCTGAAAGAAGGCAGAAAAATAGAAAAAGGGGAATGAAGAATAGGTGGGACAAAGAGAAAATAAATAGCAAGATGGTAGATGAAACCCTTCCTCCAAACCAATAATCACATTAAATGTACAGACCAGTATCCCTCATGAATAAAGATGTAAAAATTATTAACAAAATTTTAGAAAACGAAGTGCAACAATATATAAAAGGGATTTAATATGTGAATGAATGGGGTTTATCCCCGGAATCCAAAGTTGGTTTAACATTAAAAAATTAATGTCATAGGTCATATTAATAGACTAAAAAGAAAAAAACCCATATGTTTATGTCAATAGACTCAGAGAAAGCATTCGACATAATTCAGCATCCATTCCTGATAAGAATTCTGAGCAAAGTAGGGATAACAAAATAACAAAAATCTACAGCTAACATCATACTTGACTGTGAAAGACTGAATGCTTTTCCACTGAGATTAAGATACAAGAATGTCCCTTCTCATCACTTTTATCCAACATTGTACTGAAGGTTGTAGCTTGCGTGATAAGGTAAGAAAAAGAAATGAAAGACATGTGGATTGAAAAAGAAGTAATGCTGTCTTTATTCACAGACAACATGATTGTGTACATAGAAAATCCTATGGAATCTACCAAAAAGAGTTAATAGAACTGATTAGTGAGTTTAACAAGTTGCAGGATACAAGATCAACATGCAAAAAAATATATATTTAAATATACTAACAATAAACAGCAATAACTTAAAATTGTAAATGCTGTTTAGAATAGCATGAAACATAAAATACTTAAGGTAAAATCTGACAAAAGATGTGCAAACTTGTACACTGAAACTTATAAAACACTGCTGAGAGAAATTAGAGAAAACTTAAATAGTGGGACCAGCTTCATGGATCAAAAGACTCAGTATTGTCAACATATCAATTCTCCTCAAATTAATCTATAGATTTTTGTAATATCTCAATCAAAATTATAGCAGACTTTTGGGGTAGAAACTGATAAGATGATTCTAAAATTCATATAGAAATGCAAAGAAGAGGGCGCCTGGGTGGCTCAGTTGGTTAAGCGACTGCCTTCGGCTCGGGTCATGATCCTGGAGTCCCGGGATCGAGTCCCGCATAGGGCTCCCTGCTCGGCAGGGAGTTTGCTTCTCCCTCTGACCCTCCCCCCTCTCATGTGCTCTCTCTCTCATTCTCTCTCTCTCAAATAAATAAAGAAAATCTTAAAAAAAAAAAAAAGAAATGCAAAGAAGAACCGAGAATAGCCAAAACACTGAAAATGATGAACAGGTTTGATGAATTTATACTATCTGTCTTTAAGACTTACTGTAAAGCTACAATAATCAAGACAATATGGTATCAGCATTAAAACAGACAAATAGATCAATGGCACTGAATAGAGTCCAGAAATAGATCTACATATATATAGCAAATTGACTTTTGACAAGGGTACTTAAAGCAATTCAATGTAGAAATAATCATCTCAACAAATTATGCTAAAGCAACAGTATATTCATAGTCAAAAAGAAGAAGAGAAATGAAATAATAATATAATTCATGCCTCACAGTATATGGAAAATTAACTGAAAATAGATTAAAAATGTAAATTGAAAGCCAAAAACTATAAAACTTCTATAAGAAAATGTAGGAGAAAAATCTTTGTGACCTTGAGTTAAGTAAATTTCTTAGATACAAAACCAAAATCACAGTACATTAAAAAACTGGACAAATTGAATTTCATCAGAATTAAGAACTTCTCTTCAAAAGACATGGTTAAGAGAATAAAAAGAGAAGGCATGCTCATGAGAAAAGTTTTGCAAATCACACATTTGACGAAGGACTTGTATCCAGAATATATTAAGCTCTCCTCAAAACTCGGTAAGAAAAACAACCCAATTGAAGAATAGGGTCAAGATGTGAGCAGACATTTCATTAAAGAAGAAATGTAAGTGGTAAATAACCACGTGGAAAGATGCTCAACATCATTAGTTATTAGGGAAATGCAAACCACAAAGAGCTACTACTGCATGTCTATTAGAATGACTAGAATTTGAAAGATTGACCATATGAAGTGTGGCAAAAATATAGAGAAACTGGAACTCTTACATACTGCTGGTGGGGGGTGTAAAATTGTACAATCACTTTGGAAAACAGTTCGGCAATCGCCTAAAAAGTGAGATCTAGGGCGCCTGGGTGGCTCAGTTGGTTAAGCGACTGCCTTCGGCTCAGGTCATGATCCTGGAGTCCCGGGATCGAGTCCCGCATCGGGCTCCCTGCTTGGCAGGGGGTCTGCTTCTCCCTCTGCCCTCTTCCCTCTCGTGCTCTCTGTCTCTCATTCTCTCTCTCTCAAATAAATAAAGAAAATCTTTAAAAAAAAAAAAAGTGAGATCTACCATATGACTCACCCATTCCACTTACTGCAGTATTACCCAAGTAGTATTGACCCAAGAAAAATGAAAGCATATATCCATACAAAGACTTGCACATGAAAGTTTGAATGTTCCTAGCAGCTTTATCTGTCATAGCCAAACACTGGAAACAACCTAAGTGTGCGTCAGCAGATGAACAGATAAGCCCGACGTGGTGCATCCACCCAATGGGATTCTGCTCAGCAATAAAAAGGAATGAGTTACTGATACATGCGAAAACATGGAGGAATCTCAAAATAGTTACGAGAGAAAGAAATCACATAAAAAAAAAAGGATATGTACGGTATGATCCCATTTATATAAAATCCTAGAAAATGCAAACTAATCTAGTGACAGAGAACAGATCAGTTGCTGCCTGGGGACAAGGGGGGAGGCCAGGAATTACAGAAGGGCATGAAGAACCTTTTGAGGGTGATGGATATGATAAGTTCACTGTCTTAATTGTGGTGATGGTCTCAAAGTGAGTACATACATCAAAACTTATCAAATTGTATGTTGTTTTTTTTTAAGAGAGAGAGAGCACATGTGCAAGTGGGGGGGGCATGGCAGAGGGAGAAAGAGAGAGAGAATCTCAAACAGGCTCCCTGCTGAGTGCAGAGCCCAACACAGGGCTTGATCTCATGACTTTGAGAACATGACTTGAGCTGAAATCAGGAGTCGGATGCTCAATCGACTGAGCCACCCAGGCGCCCTTCTTTTAAAAATTTTTTAAAATTGTACATTTCAATGTATTCTATTTATTATATGCTAATTATACCTCTGCAAAGCCGTTAAAAACAGATGACAACAACAAAAACCCAGCCCCAAACATGCTTTGTTTTTTTTTATTTTCTATTTTTTATCTTTATTTTTTTATTATTTTAAATATTTTTATATTTATTTGTTATTTCATTTTATTTTATTTTAAGTAGTCTCCACACCTAATGTGGGGCTTGGACTCATGACCCTGAGACTAAGAGTTGCATGCTCTACAGACTGAGCTAGCCAGGTGCCCCTGCGCTTAAGTTTTTATAAAGTAAGTTAACGTCAGGAGAAATAGCAAGGCAAGTGGCACAGAGACAGGGTGGGAACCGTGCATGTGGACCAGGGGTGTTAGGTGCTTGGAAACATGGGCAGAAGTAAGCAGTGAACCCTAGACGTGGCCTGCCTGAGCTCTGGTCCTGGGTCTGCCTCTTACCAGCTGGTGGCCGTGCACCGAGCTAGTTAAGAGGATAGACTAGCTGCCCGGGTGCCTGGGTTAAAATCTCACATCTGCTACTGTTCAAATGCGGGGCTGTGGGCAAGTCATTTAAACTCACTCTGCCTCAGTTTCTTCACCTGTATAATGGGCAGTGACCATACATCTCTCAGCATCCGGCATTGCTCCTGATATTTAATAGGTGCTCAGTGAACATTAGCTGTTATCAGTAGTTCTGAGGGAGTTGATGACCGGGTCGGGGGCAGATCTCGAGCACCCAGTGCCCAGCGCTACTGGACAAGCCAAGCCCAGCCCCAGGGAGGAAGGTGTGGCTGTGAAGGTTGCTTCCAGGCCTCGATCTCAGGGGCTTGGCTCACCTGCCCAGACTGACATTATTGCTTCTGGACAGCAGAGCCCACGGTGCCAACAGCTGCGTCCTGGGCCGCACAGGCCCCACCTCACCCCGGCCTGGTCAGAGGCTGGGCTGAGCATCACTGCAGCTGTGGGAGTCCTGCCCCTTGATGGAGCCGCGTGCCTGGCACCACGCGAAGCTCAGTACACGCATTCTCCTCTTTAGTCCTCTCAGCAGCCTGGAGACATGAGGGTCTTTGGCTTCATTTCCCCAATGAGGGCGCTAGCCTCAGAGAGGCTGGGCGGTCTGTGTGAGGTCACAGGTCTCTCTCTCCTCTCACCGGCCCTGAGCACCGTTTCCCTGGGGCCCTGGCGCCGGTGGGGGAGGTGGGGTGGGGAGGGGGCGGGGAGATACTGAGAGTGGTAGCTTTCTGCCTCTCCCCTGCAGGGGTCTGGCCCTTGCTGCTTTCCTGGGCTTGGTCTTGTGGCTGGTTCTGGACACCTCCCAGCGACCTGAGCAGCTAGTGTCCTTTGCAGGAATCTGCGTGTTCATCAGCCTCCTCTTTGCCTGCTCAAAGCATCACCGCGCAGTGAGTGCTTAGTGGTCAGGTCCAGGCTGGGCCGCAGCCCCTTCTCTCCCTGCCTCCTTGGACCTTGTAGCCACCCCCTGAAGCCAAGACCCCTCCCCGTTTCACAGCGTGGCCAACGTCCCCCTACAGCCTCCAGCTAAGCCTCACGGAGATCCTCATGCACCCCTGAGTTTGGGGATCACTGCTAAGAAATCATTAAATGCTGAGAGCAGCAACCCTCCTCTGGGGGTGTGGGCATCGAGGGAGTGGGGTCAGGGCAGCTGGGAGCCCTGCCTGTGGAGGAGGGGTGGGGGGGAGGCCCGGGCAGGCACCCCCACTCCAGCTCTGCCCACCCAGTGATGACCAGGACCGAGTACCATGGCAGGCTGGAGGCTGCTCGTGTCTTGCATGGGTCCCTAGACCTTTCCCCACCCTGCCCACTTCCCCAGGCCCGTGGCTGCTAAGAGTGTAACCTGTTCTGACTCCAGGGGAGGTGACCATTGGCAACAGGCCCAGAGTTCTGGCTGGGTCCAGTCTCTGTCCTACGGACAGACCCAAACTCCCACAGCCCGTCAGTAGCACCATGCTCTCTGGCCTTACCCTATGCTGTTCCTCTGCGGATCCCCCCAAGGAGCTGAGCTCACCAGGACCTTTCTTCTGAGTGGCAGGTGTCCTGGAGGGCTGTGTCCTGGGGCCTTGGCCTACAGTTTGCACTTGGACTCTTCGTCATCAGAACAGAACCAGGATTTATCACATTCCAGTGGATGGGCAACCAGATCCAGGTGCGTACGTGGGGCCCAGCAGCCCATGGCGTCTTGAGCTGCCAGGAAATGGAGTAGAAGCCACTCTGTCGGGGAAGGTGGGTGGTGAGGCCGTAGGGAGGGATTGGGACCAGGATGGTGGGTGTGCCCTGGGTCCTGGATCACATGAGCAGCCAGGGCTGGGCAGTTCAGCTGCTGCTTCCCTCAGGCCTGGGGCCACCTGCCCAGACGGAGCCGTCCATTCAGAGGCTGGTCTGATGTGATAGGGAATCTCAGGACAGGGAGTTTCTTAGGGAACCCGGGCACAAGGCAGGTGGCCTTCAGCAGTCACGAGGGATGTGGACCTTGTAATAGTTAAAAGTGCTAAAAAAAAAAAAAATTCCAAATGATTTACTTTGTGTACGTGTGTACGTACAAATGATGTTCAGTTTACTGAAGTCATATTTTTAAATTCCATTGTTTGTTGTAGTAAATACGCATACCACAAAATTTACCACTTTCATCATCTTTAAGTGTCATGAAGCTCGTTCACATTGTTGTGCAACTATCATGAGTTACTTTTTAAAGTATAAATTATCGGGGGCGCATGGCTAATCCTCTCTGCACCCCAGTCTCGCCAGCTCGGATTTCCATGTGCTGGCCCCCACTGTCATTTTATAGATGAGACTCCTGAGGTCTGGACGAGAGAAGTGACTTGTCCCTGAAGTCACAATGCGAGGTCAGGACCTAAAACCAGCTCTGTAGAAGGGTGGGGGCAAGGCCAGCAAGGCCACCAGCCTGGGGTGGGGACAGGATGGCGCTGTGAGGGGAGTAAGTAGGTGCACAAGGCACCACCCAGAAGAGCCTTCACACACGTCTGGCTCACCATCATCCTTGCTTTCACAAAGCACACTGCCAGGTATGGCCCCAGGTGGGGGGCCCGGGAGGCCCACTGTCTCTCCCCCTGGGCTGCCGGACAGGCCCGTGGCCAGCAAGGTCCCTCCGGCTCACCCAGCCCCGGGCTCCTGGCCACCATTTCTCCCTCCTTGCTTCCTGGCCTCCCTCCAGGCTTTTGCTTTGTTTTATGTTTTGCTTTCAGATCTTCCTGAGCTACACGGATGCCGGCTCCAGCTTCGTGTTTGGGGAGGCGATGGTCAAGGGTGTCTTTGCCTTTCAGGTCAGCTCAACTCTTGGCCCACGAGGCCTTTAGCCGGGGCTGCCCGGTGCCCCCAAGCTAGTGGGGAGTCTGGGTGAGCAGCTGGGCCAGGCCCAGGTGGAGGGGAGGGCTCTTGCGGGTGGAGCCGCATCCTGGACCTCAGGAAGCGTAAGCGCCAGGGTGTCGAGTGGGGCCCCCACAATGTGTTCACCTGCTGGTATGTTTTCCGTGTGTTTTGTAAAATTTGCAAAGTTTTCCTTAAAAATGAACCCCCAGTTGCTGGAACTGTGTGAGGCTGGAGGACAAGAAGTAAGGGTAGGGGCAGGGGGCTGGCACCTGCTTTCAACTTAGCCCCCACCGTGCTGCAGGGACCCGAGGCCTGTGAAGGACACTTTCCAGGAACCCTTAGTCACAAGCGACCCTCTCGACCCTCTCGGGCTGCTTCTACTTCAAGGCCCCACAGGCCACCTCTTCAGGAAGCTGGCCCTGATTATCCAGCTGCAAGCTAGGACTCCCCCCTCTGGGCTCTCCTGGACCTACAGTCCCTCCCTCCCTCTCTCCTTCCCTCCTTCCAGCGGTTTATTTTGTGCCTGTTCCAGTGCAAAGTACTACAGAGGAAACTGACCGAAAGACTCCAGGGCCTTGTTGTGTATGGCAGAGCCCTGACCCTGGCCCTGACCCCGATCCTGACTTGACACGGGGCAGGCTGTGCTGAGTTTGCAGGTGTGGCCGCTCCCCTATTCTGCGTGGAAATGTGCTTGTATTTCTTCTTTCTCCCATTGGCTGCCTGAGCACCCACGTGCCTCCTTCCGTAAGACCTCTGCCCACCTCACACCCGAGCTGTCTAAAGACCCTGAAGCCCCCTCCAGGCTTAAGCTCCACTTGCAATGCCAGCAGAGAGAGAGAGAGAGTGAGAGAGAGAGAGAGAGACTCTGCCATTGTTCCCATGGCACCATGGACGGGATCCCATGCTGCCTACGTGAGCATGCCCCAGACCACTGTCACCGTGGGGCTGCTGTGTGGGATCCCACGTGTAGGTTCGGGAGGTTTCTGCTTTCTATTACGCTGGCCATTGTTTCTAGAGCCTCCCACCCTGCAGTGGGTGTTGGGCCCCGGAGGCTTCCAGCCTGAGCCATGGGCTCAGCTCTGCACTGCTGGGCTGATGTTGAGCCCGGTGGTGAGTCTGGACGTCTCCAGGTCCGCTTCCCCTGCCATTGACTCGTGGTGAGGTCACCTTGTGTCACAGCATCTGTGTGTGCCACCAGCTCTCAGGGAAATGTCCCCTTTAGCCAAGGCATTCGAATAATGTCAGTGCTCGGAGAAAAGAGGGAGGGGACCCGGTTCCTGTCCTCTCAGGAGTCTTGTGGGCCCTGGGATGGGCTGATCCATCACGTTCCTCAGAGACCAGTTCTGTGTAGAGAGGGAAGGTGGGGGGGGGGCAGCCTCTGTCGGTGCCCCGCAAAGGTCCCCGAACACCACTCCTGTAGGGCAAGGGGGGGCTGCTCCCTTCACACTTGCATTTCCAAGCAGGGGCCACCCAGGGTTCCAGGGAGAGCCTGGCTGACTTCCTGTGTTCACCGGACAGAGAGATAACAGCCTGCATCCTCTTACTCTTTAAAAGACAAACACTCTACAGCTCAATCTCCCCAGGAAGCCAGGTTCAAGTGCAGTTGGCACAACCGGAAGTGCCCGGGGAGTCCATTTAGGGAGGGATTGCTTCAGCTAGGGACAGGGAGGATAACACCCCCCGGAGGTGGTGTTTGATGTGCAGGACAAGAAAGATTTGGAGGCGCAGAGAGGCAAGAAGAGGAAGTTCATGGGATAAGCACGGAGGTGAGAGTGTGCAGGTGTCTCTCAAGTACAGGGCGGAGTTCCCTCTGCTGACACGAGAGCTATTGGTGGGAAAGGATGGGCTAGGGCACAACCCAGACGTGTGGCGGGGCTGTACCTGGAAGGGTCCTAAATGCCATGTGGAGGCACCTGGGTTTTGTCCCCAGGAAATGGGAGCTCCTGAACATTTTTGAGCAGGGAGGGACTTTTTTGGAGCTTTGGAACAGTTATCATGTCAATAGTGGGTAGGAAGGGTTGTAGCCAGGATGCTTGGAATAGAGGACCAGAGGAGGCTGCCTCATCTGCATGTGGTGACCTGGGGCCACGGGACTCCGTGGTGCAGGAGAGAGATCACCTCGGGGAACGGAGGCTGAGGGGGCCTGCAGGAAGCACATCACTTAGCTCCACGTGTTGTAGCCGTGTTTGCATTTAGCTGTTGGAGGGCAAGGCCTGGGTCTTACCCATCCTTGTGTCCCTTGACTGACCCTGAGCCCTACAAAGCCCCTCCCAGTGCCTGGACGCTGCTCTTTGCCGAGCAAATGGTGGTTCTCTGGTGCCTGCACGTGGGACGTCCCTCCGTGCCTGCTGGGAAGTCTGGTTCTGCGAGCCACGGCTGTGGGTTGGGCTCCTCTCCCTGGCCGGGCTGCCATTCCCATGACTGTGTGGTCCTGAGCAGCTCTCCCTTTGGCCCAAGACCAGGGCTGAGCTCTTCTTTCTCCAAACCTCCCCAGCAGAGCCCAGAGCTTCCTGACCCTCTGGAGCTAAGAGCTACACACGGGCTTTGCTGCAAGCTCCAGGGCCACCAGAAACCCTTTTGTCCCCCTCTAGACCCAAGACCTTGGTGGAACCGAGAAGAAAAGCACAGGGAGAAGGAAATCATAATAACAGCCCCTAGGTGTGGAGCCAGAACCACGTGCCAGGCACACACTTTGCCCTTCTAGCCACCCATGGGGGGACTGCTATCGTTATCCTCTTTTTCACAGATGAGGATACTGAGGTTCAGAGTGGTTGTGACTTGCAAAAAGTCACAAAGCTAGTGACTGCTGGAATTAAGATGGGAACCCAGATCCAAAGCTCTTGCTTATTAGCTTCTCTGCCTTGATATCAAAGCACTTTCCTTGGTCGGCAGTGGTGACAAAGGGGTCCAGATCTTAGATGTTTGTTTTTCCCTTGGTTTGGAAGAAAAGAGTATTCTTTTTTTTTTTTTTTTAAGATTTTATTTATTTACGAGAGAGAGAGAGAGAGGCAGGAAGCAGAGGGAGAAGCAGGCTCCCTGTGGAGCAGGGACCCCAAGGGGGGACTCGATCCCAAGACCCTGAGATCATGACCTGAGCCAAAGGCAGACACTTAACCGACTGAGCCACCCAGGCTCCCAGAAAAGAGTATTCTTGAGGACTATTTGGTTGCAAGTGACAAAGACCCATTTAAAACTTGCTTTAAAGAGAGGAGGGACGGAGGGCTGTTTCTTGCCTCACACACTGGAAGGCGAGGTAGAGCAGGTGCAGGCTGGACCCGGGGCAGTCAGGTTCATGGCCCTCAGCCCCACGTTTCTGCTTCTGCCAGGGCGTCAGCTTCGCTCCTGCATACCAGGTCTTCCCCTGACCCCCAGCAACATCAGGTGCTCATTCTTACAGCATGTGCCCCCAAACGAGGGAAACTCTTCTCTGCCAGCCCGAGGTAGAAAACCCTGGGGCAGTCCTCAGATTGCCCTGCCTCGGGTGACGTGACCGATCCTGGACCAATCGCTAAGCCCGGGGCGGGATTACTACAATTGCCGCAACTGGGGTCTCGTGCTCCCGCCCAAAGCCAGGGAGTCGGGTGCTCTGACTGCGTGGACGCCACCCTGAGAAGCTCGTCACTGCAAGGAGCAGGGCCCAGGAGAGGCGGTACCGTCCCTCCACGACAGAAAACAAGGCAGGCAGCTCCCCGTGGGACCTGGGATCAGCTGCACTTTCAGGGCGTCCTTGTGTTCCGAGGGAGGGTTTGTGGTCTAGCGCAGGAGCAGGGCCCAGGTGAGAGCTAGCGTACCTGCCTGGGAGGAGCAGCGGTGGCATTGACCCTTTGATCTACGGTCCCTCTCGGCCGTAACGTGGGGACACATCTGGGAGTCTAGGCTGGACTTCCTGACCAGGGTGCTTAGTTCCTGACTTGTCGGTGGTAAGTGACAGAAACACACCTCAAATGGACTTGAGCCAAAAAATGAAACAAAGCAGAACTAAAAAATCAAGATTAATTTCTATAACTGAAGAAATCCAGGGCCTCGGATCCTACTGGATCCAGATACTGAGCATCACCTGGGATCCACCTGGCCTATGTCCTGGTTCTGTGTTCTTGGCGTTGGCTTTAGACGTAGTCTCGGGTAGGCTCCCTTGAGGTGGTGGCAAAGAGATACCGGGCTTACATCCAACCAACTTAGCAACCTTACTTAGCAGGGAGAGAGAAAGAGAGAGAGCATCCCTGATTTCCACTAGCTCTAGCAGGAAACCCAGGAGTGGGCCCTTCTTGGCCTGGCTTGGAGTATATGTCCTCTCCAGATTACAGCCAGGGAGGATAAATGACTTGGATCCATTAAACCTGGAGCCCATCAAGTGAGAGTGGAGGAGGGGGTGGTTCCCAAAGGCAAATAAAACTTTGTCACCAAAAGCAGCAGGGGAAGGGGCACAGGGCCGGCCAAGCAGCCTCTGTCCACTGATATCCCATACTGCTTCTCTCCCAGTCTAGCCCTGAAACGATCACCTGGCTTGCTGCTGTGTCCATCCTCTTGCCAGTGTTATAGCTGTGTGTCCTCCCATCTTTTCTCCCTTTCCGGAAGAACACGCACACACCTGCTACTTACCCCTCTCCCCAAATCACCCTGTACAACCATGGCTGCATAGATGGTTGGCCTGGAAGGGAACTCGTTGATTTTTGGGTCCCCCCCCTTTAATATTACAGATGGCCAAACCACACCCCAGACAGGAGCGGTGACCTGGGCACAGTCACCCAGTGAGTTAGGGCGGAACCAGGGCTGGAGCGGGGTGATTGGACTACCGGCCAAGTGGTGTTTTCTTCTCGTACTATAAGTTGAAGTCATTGACATCACGTCTCCCTTCCAAATACAAAGAGCAACCTTCATGCTGATAATGTTAAATTTAAAACATGTTAAATGGTTGCTAAAGACTTGGAGTTTGGATGTTCAGCCAAGAGAGAAA